GGACAAATCTGTGCCCCTCCATGATGGAAGGGCTATAGTATAATCCATCTGACACCACGTGACTGGCTGATCTCCTCACGTGGTGAATGGTCCCTTATTGGGGGCTTAATATAGATCTCTGCCGAAGGCCATTTAGGCATACCATGGTAGCAGTAATCAATTCTGCCTTGATGAGAGGAAATTCATGTTGTTGAGACTACATAGCTTTCAATTATGCTACCATAGCCATTTGGTACTTGGATTTATATCTCATGAATGAATCGTGAGGTAGCTAGGGAAACAGGAGGACTGACATCCATCTCCTTTGCCAGTTTGTCCACCTGATTGTTCAGAACCTCCTCTGTAGTACTTGCTGGGCATGGCAGTGCATGCTTGTAATACAAGTGACATGGGAAGCTGAGGCAGGAGAATAGTAAGCTCAATGCCAGCCCAGGCAATTAGTGGGACCCTAAGGACTGGAGATGTGAATCGGTGGTTAAGTGCCCCTGGGCTCAATCCCCAGCACTAAGAAAACAAAATGTCTTTTGTAGTAGAAATTCCTTAGGGAGTATTCACATAGGACATATATGTCTTCATATTTTGTCCCCACTCTGAAAGGTCCATCTTCTTTTTCAGACCTCATTGCCACCAATTCTGTCTTCCCCAAGTCCATGACCAGCCAGCCAAACAACAGCTGCCCATTAATCAATGTGGTCTGTATGTACTTCCGACCATCTCAGTCCGGACAACATATGAACCACTTGAAATTCTGACCATTGGGTGGAGGTTACCCTTAATTTTCTTTCAGGGATACACTTGAATAGGGTTATAATCTTGCTGCCATCAGCTTCTTGTTGGTCCATAATTAGACCTTAAGAACTTTACTGAGGTGGCAGGCACTAGAGGGAGATGCAAGGGTGGACCGAGAAGAACTTGCTATTTCCTCATGATTCCTGTTTGCTTCCTGCTCATTTTCTGTTTCTTGGAGTATTACCTAGAAAGCTGCTTCTTTTTTTTTTTTTAAATATTTATTGTTTAGTTATTGGCAGACACAACATCGTCGTTTGTATGTGGTGCTGATGATCAAACCCGGGCCGCACACATGCCAGTCGAGCGCGCTACCGCTTGAGCCACATCCCCAGCCCGAAAGCTGCTTCTTTATCTGGCAGTGACAGAAACTTCCCATATCAGCTGCTACATCTTGTTAGCAGCTTTTCAGCCTTGAGGATCCAGTCTCCACTCCACTTCTCTAAGACACTAGCAGAAACACCATACAGAAAAGTAGATTTGAAGCTGAGAAATAATAATAATTGGCATTTTTTTTTTTAGTATATAAAGGAGCAGGCTCTGAGGAAGGGAAAAATAGAGGTAATACAAAGTATTAGTTTTTAACTCTGGCTTCATAAGAGACTTACCTGCTGGGCATGGTGGCACACACACCTGTAATTCCAGCAGCTCAGGAGGCTGAGACAGGAGGACTGTGAGTTCAAAACCAGCCTTAGCAACTTAGCAGGGCCCTAGGCAACTCAGTGAGACTCTGTCTCAAAATAAAAAGGGCTAGGTTTGTGGCTCAGTGGTTAGGTGCCCCTGGGTTCAATCCCTGGTACCAAAAACAAACAAATACATCAATAAATAAAACATAAAGAGACTTACCTGGATAACTTTAGAAATATACATCAATTTTTATATGAGAAAACATTTTTTTTTCTTTTGGTACTGGGGTTGAATCCAGGGACTCTTAACCACAGAGCCACATCCCCAGCTCTTTATATTTTAAATTTTGAGACAGGGTCTCATTAAGTTGATTAGGACCTCACTAAGTTGTTGAGGCTGGCCTCAAACCTGTAATCCTCCTGCCTAAGCCTCCCAAGTCACTAGCAAAAAAATATTTTTATATTTATTTTTTAGTTATAGTTAGACACAATACCTTTATTTTATATATTTATTTTTTATGTGATGCTGAGGATCGAACCCAGGCCCTCACATGTGCTAGGCAAGTGCTCTACCACTAAGCCACAACCCCAGCTCTAGTAAAAGCATTTATAAACTATTAATATGCATTATATAAATATACAAGTATATTATAAGATATTTAAATATATATTCAAGTATATATCTGTAGTTCTTCATGTTTAAAATGTAAAGATGTGGGGCTGGGGCTGTGGCATAGTGATAGAGCACTTGTTTTACACATGTGAGGAGGCCCTGGGTTTGATCCTTAGCATCACATAAAAATAATAAATGAATAAATAAAGATATAAAAATAGAGTCTAAAAATATGCTTCTATAACTTTGACCAAAACTAAAATCTAAAGAAAAAGATTTTTTTAAAAAAAATATAAAGATGCTTGGGCTTTTTTCTTAGAGATTCTAATTTAATTGGTTTGGGCTGGGACCTGGACATTAGTGTATATACTTAAAAGCTTCCTAGGTGATTCTAATGTGCAGCCTGAGTTGAGAACCACTCATATAAAACAACGAAGGAGCCTGAAATCCTTTAGTTTGCATGTACACTCATAATTTAATGGCAGAGACAGAAAAGACACTTAAACCAAGCATGTCACTGCCCTACACTGACTTTGACCCGAAGAGTTGTGAGGTGAATTATGAGCTGGGGGTGTGTTCTGCTCAGTGTTGCTGTCATGTCTCCTCAGTTCTTATCCAGCTTGTGACACAGCTGAAGCAGGAGCAGACTGTCCATTGCCTACTAGATGAGTGCCACAGAGAGGTCAGTATACTGCTGTGGGTTCTTTTTTTGGTACTGGGGATTGAACCTAGGGGCACTTAACCACTGAGCCACATCCCCAGCCCTTTTTATTCTTTATTTTGAGACAGGGTCTTGTTAAATTGCTTAGGGCCTTGCTGAGTTGCTGAGGCTGGCTTTGAACTTGCCATCCTTCTGCCTCAGCCTCTGAGCTTCTGGGATTACAGGTGTGAGTCACTGTACCCAGCAAGTTGTGGGTTCTTGAGGCCCCTCAGAACCTCCAACTTCTGTTAGAGCTGATCCAATCCCTTTTTTTTTTTAAAAAAAATATTTTTTTAGTTTTAGTCGACATAGTATCTTATTTAATTTTTATGTGGTGCCGAGGATCGAACCCAGTGCCCCCTGCATGCTAGGTGAGCGCTGTACCACTGAGCTACAGCCCCAGCCCCCAATCCCTTTTTGAATAGGTGGGGAGATTGAAATCCAAAAAGGAAAAGGGACTCTTGAAGTCACTGAGTTGGTGGAAGAAAGAGCCACAGCTAGGATTTGGGGCTTTTCATTCTGTTCCAACACTCTTTGCAGCTTTCAAGGTATTCCTCTCCCTTCAGTCTGCCAAGTGCTATTTCCATGAGATGAAGTCCCATCTTTCTGGCTCAGTCATCCCATGACCCATTCTTTGTATCTTTCTAAATACAATACAGATTTCCTTGATGTATTAATCAAGGAAATATGTTCACTATTTTGGTTTAGTGTTTTTATTTGGCTTTGAATTGTGTACATTGCTTTGTACGGAAGGCATTTGCTTTTATCAGCTTCTAAGGTAAGAATTAAGTGGGCATGCTTTCTTCAACATAATAAAAGAATAAATAGCAAATTTTTTATTATGTTTAAGATGAGGAATAATATTAGAGTCACTTTTTAATTTATTTTTTAATGGACACGATACCTTTGTTTTATTTATTTATTTTTTTTGTGGTGCTGAGAATTGAACCCAATGCCTCACACATGCTAGGCAAGCTCTACCACTGAGCCACAACCCCAGCCCGAGTCACTTTTTTTTTATTTTGTAAAATATAAATGTTCATCTTAACACAATCAATAATAAAGCATTAACTATAAATTTTATTTAAATTATTGTAATTACTTTGTGATTAATAATATATCAGATTAAATTCATAATTGCTTAGATTGGTACTTATCATCATGAATATAGCATTTAACATTTATAGAGCACTTTCTATATACTAGGCACTGTTAGATGATTTATTCTTTTATTTATTTATTTTTGGTACTGATGATTTAACATCCCCAATACTTTTTAATTTTTATTTTAAGACAGGATTTTGCTAAGTTGCCGAGGCTGGCCTTGAACTTTCGATCCTCCTATTGGAGTTCACTGGGATTACATTTGTGTGCTACCACACTCAGGTGTTAGGTGCTTTATATGCACAAACTTATCTATTTCCACCAACAACCCAATGAAGGTGGTGCTATTTGTTATTTCCTAATAGAGGAGTTAGGAGTCTTGCCCAAAGTGGTATAACTAGTCAGTAGGAGAGGTGAAATATTTACTGTTGACTCCCACTATAAAGCATTAAGCATTATGTCTGGCACATAGATTGCTCAATATTAGTAGCCATAGTAATGCTGATGATAATTTTATTATTTTATTTCTGCACTGAGCAGTTTTGTCTTTATGACATTTCCACCTTTCACCCTTGTTTCTGGTTCTATAGGAGGAAATATTTCCTAATTTTTAAAATATTTAAAAAATTTTTTAAAATATATATTTTTTAAATGTTTATTTTTTAGTTTTAGGTGGACACAATATCTTCACTCTATTTTTATGTGGTGCTGAGGATCGAACCCAGTGCCTCACGCACGCCAGGCGAGTGCGCTACCACTTGAGCCACATCCCGAGCCCAAAAATTTTTTTTGTGGTTGATGGACATTTATTTATTTATATATTTATTTATTTATTATGCTGATATTTGAACCCAGTGCCTCACTAATGCTAGGCAAGCTCTACCACTCTACTACTCTACTTACAGCTATAACTCCATCCTAATATTTTCTAATTTTTATTCAGTTTAACGAGTACTGAGCTAGATATGTACTAAGGACTCTGAGAGGAATTTGAGTCAGTGTCTTTCCTCTGGGAGTTTCCAGTTTAGTGAGATGGATACTTAGTTTTAAAAAGCCAATTGTAATGAGAGACGTACATAATACAGGCATTGGGGTGGATAGGGCAAGATCTGTTTTTGTGGGCAGTCTATCCTGATTCTAACTGACAGCGGAGTATGTTCACTTTCTGTAGCTGTGTAGCATGCCCTCCATGCAAGGCAGCCCGGCCACCCTGACTCTTCTTGGCAAGTTGGTGGATACCATCCCTGCCTTGGCAGACAAGCTTGTAATGGAGCATGGTGAGTGACCTATGGGGAAGATCCATCCCTACCCTTTGCCTGCTTTGGTCATACTGCCAATCTGGGTGGCCCATTCACTGTATTCATCTGGAAAGTCATTACTCTCCTTCTCTAGCCTTTAGTATCCACATCTGCAAAATGTGCTCCAAGTTGGACAGTTTGAAAGAGGTCAATTTTTAAAATCTGGTCTTGGGCAAGTATATTCATTCTTTTAACATAAACTGATACTTACTATATCCTTCCTTTTGAGTGGAAGGAGGAATGAATTCTGGAATATAGAAGCACTTCTTTTTCATAATTGAAATGAAAGTAAATATCTTATGGAGGATCTATCCCAGGAAAGATTGCTTAACTTGGTTAAACTTTGCTTTCTATTTTCTTTTCTTTTTGGTTTTCTCTTGATGAAGCACCCAGAAAGTATTTATTGTGTGTGTGTTGGGGGCAGGGCGGTTATAGGGAATTGCCTCATTGGGAATAAGAGTTTAGAGTTTCAGGTGGCAGTTGATAGGGATGGTATCCAGGGATTGATTTCTCCCTGCTCTTTGATTGTTTTCTGGACAGGTGGCCTGATGAAGCATCTGCTGAGAGGCTTGGTATACCCCAATGAAGGGGTTCAAGCTTCTGTCTGTTACTTGTATGGGAAGCTCTACTCCTCACCCATGGCTGCTGAGATGCTTTCAGGCCATTTCCGGGAGAAGCTGTGTCCTCTCTTTCTTTCTACCCTGGAAGGTGCCCAGACTAAGGAGCTCCAGATCAACTGCTTGGGTGAGACATGGAGTTGGAGAAAAAAGAACAAGTTTCTGAGGTTTTGCTTGAGGACTTGAGATATTGGATGCTCTAGTGGTGGGGAAATTTGCTGTTATGCAAAAGGTAGAATCCAGGAGTTTGGAGATCAGATGCATAGACTGTGAAAAATGCCTAGAGTCAAGTCAGTGTGGCTTCTTAAGAATGTTGCCTTTGGGAGAAAAAGAGGAAGGAAAGTAGGACAACAGTTTTTCTGCTTTGGGTCTTTACTGCCTATTCTTGTGCATCCTATACTTGCTGCTAAGTTAATCTTAAGACTCTACAGCTTATATCCACTATACATTCACTTTCCTAGCCAGAAAAATTTTCCATGGTCCTATTTTGACTCCAAGGTAGAGTCTAGGTTTCTCTTCTTCTTCTTCAAGGCTCTTTAGGAGCCTCAGTACCAACTTCCATCCTCTTGTTCTATTATTTACTTACATAAATACAAAAGAACTACAAGATGCTTCTGAGAAGGAAACTTCCGTATTTTATTCCATTCTAAGTTTTGATGCTGGGGATTGAACTCAGGGTTTTGTACATGCTAAGCATGTGTTCTACCACTGAGCTACAACACTAACCCCAGTTTTCATATTTTACGTAAAGAAGATGTGCACTGTGATTGGTGAATGAATGAGGGTCTATTTCAGAGCAGGAGCTATAGGGAAAAGCATAGTCTATGAGTGATGGTGGTTCATCACAATTTGGGTTAAGAGCTCTGTTTTGAACAGTCCAAACATATATAGTGAGCATTTGTTCTGCATCAGGCTCTGTGTTGGTCAGCTCTGAGGTCAGAGCTGACTTCTGTCCTTGGGAAGCTCATGGACCAATGTGAGAGACAGACATGGACAGTCCAGTATGATGAGTGCTGGCACAGAGGTGCACCAGAATAACACCTGAATACATGGTATCTTGGAATTGGGCATTTTAGAGCTAAAGTGGGTAAGAAAGGGCCCTAAATTGAGTCCCTGGTTGGTCTCCAAGCTAGCCAGTGCATAGCAGAGGGAAGTCTCAGTTTTATTAGCTGGGGATTCCTGTTTTAAATACCACCTCTTGTCTGGAACCTTTCCTTCTTGCCCTGACCCCCAGCTAGGTGTGCGGTCACATCCTTTGAACCATTAAGTACTATGGGGCTGATATATATTATCTTATTCATTTATCCTTAAAAATCTGGATCCTTCTAAGCTCTTTGTGATCTAATCCTTATCCAGGTTTTCCCTCTCCTTATTCTGCACTCACAACAGACTTTCTTTTTTTTTAATATTTATTTTTAGTTGTAGATGGACACAATACCCTTATTTTATTTTATTTGTTTTTATGTAGTTCTTGGGATCAAACTCAGTGCCTCACATGTGCTAGGCAGGTGCTCTACCTTGAGCCACAATCCCAGCCCTCACAACAGCCTTTCTAAACTGAATGTTTCTCCAGGAATACACCAGACTCTCATGCCTTTGTATATTCTTTTTTCTACCCAGTAGTTGGCTCTTGTTTCAGGTTCTCATCCTTCAAGATTTGTTCAGATATCTTCTCTTTCTAGAAGCCTTCCCCAAGGCCTCAGGCTGGATTAGATTCTTCCCCCAATTCCCTACAAATCCCTTGAGCTTTTTTCCCCCACCATATTTAGGATTAATTTTTAATATTCTGACAAGCAGTGTTTGCTCACCTGTTAACTAAGTTATGTATTATGCAGAATGTGTTGGTGGCTTCCCATGATTTCCAGTATAATGATCAGAATCCCTAACATTGTTTATAGGGGCTTTTATAGTATAATGACCTCTCAGTCATCATTTCTGGATTTTTAAATTTCTTTCAACCACTGTGGTTTTTTTTCAGTTTCTGGAATGTTGTTCCCTTCGCTTTTCCTATTCACATAGTTTCACCTAATTATCCTTCAGGCTGAACTTTAACTTGCTGGTGAAGGCTTTACTGATCCCTACACTTAGTTAGATCCTCCTGTATACATTTTCAAAAGTCTGGCCATTCTTCATTTGTATCATTCATCACAATTGTTAAGTAATCATTTGTGTGACTCATTTTTATTTTTTGTTTGTTTTGAGATGGTGTCGTTTTATGTTGCCCAGGCTAACCTTTATATTCCTGGCTTAAGCAATCCTCCTGCCTCAGCCTCCTGAGTAGGTGGGAGTACAGGTGTGCACCACAGTGCTCAACTTTGTGTGACTTTTTTTTTAGGGGGAGGGTTCTAGAAATTTAACCCAGAGACATTTCATTATGGAGTTACATCCCTGACTCTTTTTTTCTTTTTAAATATTTTCTGTAGTTGTAGATGGACACAAGGCCTTTTATTTATTTATGTTTATGTGGTGCTGAGGATTTAACCCAGTGCTTCACACCTGCTAGGTGAGCGCTCTACCACTGGGTCACATCCTCAGCTCTACCTCAGCCCACATCCCCTGTACTTTTTATTTTTTATTTTGAGACAGGGTCTTGCTAAGTTGCTGAGTTGGCATTGAACTTGGAATTTTCCTTTCTCAGCCTCCTGAGCTGCTGGGATTACAGGTGTGCACCACTGCACCTATTTTTATGTCTGTTCCCTTTGCAGAAGCATGTGCTCCATTTGTTCAGTCAGATATATATACAAATATATATTTCCCAGTACTGGAGATTGAACCCAGGGATGCTTTACCATATTCCCAGCCCTTCCTTTTTAAAAATATTTATTTTTTTAGTTGTAGTTGGACACAATACCCTTATTCCATTCATTTATTTACATGTGGTGCCAAGGATCGAACCCAGGGCCCCGTGCATGCTAGGCAAGCGCTCTACTGCTGAGCCACAATCCCAGCCCCCTTATTTTTTGTTCTAAGACAAATTCTCACAAAATTGCTCAGATTGGCCTCAAACTTGTGATCTTCCTTTTTCGGCCTCCCAAGTAGTTGGTATTATAGGTGTATACCAACTATACCCAACAAAGTAAAAAATATTTATTGAGTTCCTGCTGTGTGTCAGGAGTTATGCCAGGGGAAAGATGATGTTGTGGTGAAATTGATATTATCCTTTTATCTATGAAATGCAGTTCAATAGGGTGATTTGGGCTAGTTTGTCTTACTTAATGTTGAACCCCTAGACCCTTAAGCCTAGACTTAGTAGGTTCTTATTAGGTCCCTGTGGGAGTGTGCTGGATTGCAGAAAGCAACCTGGTGCTTAAGGATTCTAACCATTCTTCATGTCTATGGAGACCTGAAGAGGTTTCTCCAGAGATGTCTGAGGCTCTATCTTGGGAGTACTCCAGGAGTACCTGTGCTCCTCTTACCTCTCTTCTCAACCTCTTTGCTTCCTAGGTTTGTTGAGGCAGCTGCTGAAGTATGATCTTTTTGTGTCCATGATCATGAACAAATCTGCACTGGCAGAAACTGCTCAGAGTGTGGAGGGGCCACCAGGAGAGACCTCACTGCCTTTGGTGCTCAAAAAGGTAGTTGTCTTCTGTTTCCTGGTCTCTAATTTCAATAACAATGGAACCCAAGTACTTCCTGGGTCTGTCCTCATCCACCACACCTTTTATCCATTTCCAAAATGTCTTATTTATTTATTTATTTATTTATTTTTATGTAGTGCTGAGAATCAAACCCAGGGCCTCACATATGCTAGGCAAGTGCTCTACCACTGATTCACAACCCCGGCCTCCCCAAAAATGTTCCTTACTGGCCATAATAGATATGCTATTAGAAGACTCAAAATAAGATTTTTTTCTGTTATAAATTATTATTCAGTATCTATTTCTTCACATCTGGACTGCCTGAAAATGGAGAATACTGTAGGGAGCCACTCCAAATGCATGCACCTTTAAGTCCTGATGCTTATAGGGGCTTTTATAGTATAATGCACCACTGGGATCTGAAAGATCACTGTAGTCTGGTGCGGTAGTGCCATGAGTCCTGACTTGGGCTCTTCCCTCGCTGGGATAACAAGGCCTGGCCCTAGGAGTAGTCAGCACAGAGGGGGTTGGGTTATACTCACTTATTCCTTTGTAAACCTGACCCCTTGCCTCATTTGAATAGCTTCTCCCCAATAAAAAGGTCCAGCACATATTCCTCACCCTCTTTTTGCCTGCTTGCCGCCTTTTGGGTAGCTGAGGCTAAGGAGTGGTCACTGAACCCAAAGAAAAGGTACTTTCTGTCTGTGTCTTATTTAGCTTAAATTCACTCGGAAGACCCTGACTGGTTATGTTGCGTGATGTGACAACATACAGCACAGAAACAAAGCCACCTCAGTTGTTTTAGGGATAAGTGTCCCAGCTTGGCGCTGAAAGTCCCTTTATCTGGACGCTGTGTCTCCTTGAGCCTCATTTACCTGTGCAACCCAGCACTCTAGCCTTAAGTAGCTTCTCCCTGGTCCTTTTCATGCTGGGTCATTCTGTCTGTGCTGTGTAGGAGCTCTTCCCTCTGCCTGTAGCCTATTTCCTCTCTCATGGTTGATCTGATTCAGCTCTAGGCCTGTAGGGCTCCCTGTTACCCTGGCTCCTTTAGGCAGAATGTGTCCTCTGTCATAATGCTTGTCTCACCATATTGTGGTTGATGGACTTGGAGCTTCTTCAGAGTAGCACCTGGTGTTTTGCTCCCCAATGCTCAGCACAGAGTATAGCAGAGCTGTGTATTTTCCTGTTATCAAGTGGTTAGGACATTTCAAGGGTTGATTGACCAGCAGTGGGGCTCCTTCCGCAGGAAGGAGGAGGAGCTCTAGTCAGAAGGATCAGTTGGGTATAGAATAAGATCCAAAGCAAACTGCTCCTCTTTGTTTCCCTGGGATGCTTCTAGAATGGTCCATGCAGGTCTGTGTATTTAAACCAGGAAAGTTTATATCAGGTCCCTGAATTCATTTTTCTGCTTTTATCCAGGAAGTCCTGTTATCAAGTGATTAGGACATTTGATTCTGACTCCAACAGGGGTACAAGGACTTAAGAAAAGGGTCTTGCTGCCTCACAGTACACCAAGGCAGCATGGTGGTAGCAGTGGCAGAGACTGAAGAGTACACTTTCCTGGGGCAAGATTATTTCGTAAAGACAGAAATATTGGTTTTGGGGGTCCTACTCTCCGTCAATACATTGAAACTCTTATTCCATTGCAACTTTGGATGATTAGGGTTTATTTTATAATCCCACCAGTATGATTGGGGCTAAGGGAGTGAGGGAGGAACTTGCATTGGGCACAGAATTTAAGTAGGAGATCAGAAATACTCAGTAATCAAGATACATAATATTTAAAAAAATAAAAAAATAATAATACAAAGGCTGGGGTTGTTGTAGCTCAGTGGTAGAGTGCTTGCCTAGCATGTGTGAGGCACTGGGTTCAATCCTCAGCACCACATAAAAATATAAACAAATAAAGTTATTGTGTCTATCCACAACTAAAAATATTTAAAAATATAATGCAAAAATATTGATGAATAAGTTTCAAAATTTTAAGTAAAGGTAATATTGGCATGTATCTTTATACCTCCATTCTGGCATTTTTGTAATGGCCAGAGTCTAATGCTGTTCTTTTCTGCACTTGGGTAATGATCAAAACTTTCTCCCCAAATTCATGCTATAGGAGTAGGTTGTTAATGTTTGTGTTCCTGCTGTTGCAATATTGATTCCTTCATTTTGTCAAATACCAGGCATTAATGTGATACGTCACTGTCTATGTTAGGCACTGGGAACATCATGGTATATAAACAAACTTTTTGCCCTAGCACAGTTTACAGACTAGTGAGTAAGGCAATTACTACATGACTGAATGAACAACCAAAGTAATTACAGATTGTGGTAAGTGCTGAGAAGGAAATAATGGGACGAGGTTGTCGTGGAGAAACCACTTACAGGTTGAGTGGTCAGGCAGGGCGTCTCTTAAGGGATGACTTTTGAGCTGACAGTTCAAGAATTAATAAGAAATGACATGAAGAGTGGGCAGAAAAGCCTTTCAGGCAGGAGTAGCAAATCAAGGCCAGAGGGAGAGAAGGCCTCAGTGAATTCTGGAAACTGATGGAGTTGGTTGGATGGCTGGTGGGTGGGAGGTGAGGTAAAGTGGCACAAGATGAGGCTAGAGATTAAGCAGAGCAAGTCATGGAAGCCCTGATAGGTCATGGTAATTATTTATTTATTTATTTATTTTGTACTGGGTCCTAACCTAAGGGTGCTTTATCACTGAACCACATCCTCAGTCTTTTTTGTTTTTTAGTTTGAGACAGGGTCTTGCTAAGTTGCTTAGGGCCTCACTAAGTTGCTGAGGTTGGCCTTGAACTTGTGTTACTCCTGCTTCAGCCTCTGGAGTGGCTGGGATTATAGGTGTGTGCCACTGTGCTCAGCTCTGATGGGAGATACTTTACCATCAATGGTGTGTCATAGTTTAATTGGTACTATTCTTTTCTTAAGAAAATGTGTACCAGATGTGGTGCACACATGTAATCCTAGATAATTGGGAGGCTGAGGCATGAGAATTGCAAGTTCGAGGCCAGCCTTAGCAATTTAGTGAGGCCCTAAGCAACTTGGCAGGTCCTGTCTCAAAAATTTAAAAATGTGCCTTAGGGGCTGAAGTTGTAGCTCAGTGGTAGAGCATTTGCCTTGAACGTGTGAGGCACTGGGTTTGATCCTCAGCACCACATAAAAATAAAAAAATAAAATAAAGGTATTATGTACATCTATAACTAAAAAAAATATTTAAAAAAATGTAGCTCGATGGTAAATCACACCCAGGTTCAATCCCCAGTACAAAATAAATAAAGAGAAAAGAAGGGGCTGGGGTTGGGGCTCAGTGGTAGAGTGCTTGTCTAGCATGTGTGAGGCACTGCGTTTGATTCTCAGTACTGCATATAAGTAAATGAATAAAATAAATGTCCATCAACATCTAAAAAATATATATTAAAAAAAGGGAAAAGAAAATGTGCTACCCATTAAATGGTACATAAAATAGCAGTTTGCCTTACATCAACAACATCTTTATATATACATATTATATATATATATACACACACACACATATATGTATTATATACATATATTTTTTGGATGGACCTTTATTTTATTTATTTATACACAGTTCTGAGACTCAAACCCAGTGCTTCACACATGCTAGCCATGAGCTCCACCACTGAGCCACAACCCCAGTCCCCATGAATAACATCTTGATGTAAAATACCATATGTTATTTCCTTTAGAAAAGAGACCAAGATAAAGAATAATATCTAAACTCCTTTGCACACTAATAAAGTAGGTGTTTGCTTGTAATAAGACAATTTTGACGTATAATGACATATTATGACAGAGATGGGTTAAATCTGCTGTCTCCAGATGCTTTTCTTCCGAACGTGAATAGACTTGGTCCTTTTCCTTCGAAGCTATAAAATCAGGCACACTCTACCTTTCCTGGTGATATATGTGCTGCTTGCTGCTAGGCATTCCCCCACAAAAGATCAGTTCATGTTATATTTAAAATCTGTGGTTGCAATTGATTCTTTTCTTGTTTCTGGAAGTGTTAGGAGCCCTCCTAATGGCTGTAAAATACTCAGTAATCAAGATACATAATATTTAAAAAATAAAAAAATAATAATACAAAGCCTGGGGTTGTAGCTCAGTGGTAGAGCGCTTGCCTAGCATGTGTCTAGTAGGAGTTTGAATGGAAATTCATTGGGAGGTTTTGAATAAAGGGGTAACCTGATCTAAAATTTTAATGGGGCACTCAGGTGTGGGAAGATTCCTATATTTGGATGTGGCTGAATTAGATTTCTGCCTTAGTTTTGTCACCTCTTTGCAGTGTGGTAAGTAACTTAACATGGTGAAGGGTCCCCAAGACCACCTCCAGGTGGGATGATTCGCTAAGAGGACTCAGCATATAGTTATACACTATGTAATGATTTATTACAGTGAAAGGATACAAAGAAAAATCAGCAGAAATAAAAGGCACATGGCATGGGATTTGGGGTAAACCAAGCACAAGATTCCAGAGTTCTCTTATAGGGGGTCACACAGCACATGTAATTCCTCCAGCAATTAATTGTAACACATGTGAAACATTACCTACAAGGGAAGCTCATTAGAATCTCAGGGCCCAGTGTTTTTGTTGGGGTCTGGCTGATCATGGAAGTACCCTCTGCCTCATACATACCAAAATTCCAGACTCTTGGGAGGGAAGCAGGTATTCAACATGTTTGTTCAAATGTTTAGTCACACACCCTTATCAGTTCTGGGAGTGGTAGGAACCCTCCTAAAATTCAGGTTCACAAATCAGCCCCGGCTCAGTCCTGCAGGTAGGCCTGTCTAATTATAACTTCCTCAGGCATGCTATGTATATGTTCATAAAGTGAAGATCATAGTGGAACCTTCCCTTCTTATGTCACCAGCACGTATATCCTGGTGATATATGTGCTGCTTGCTGCAAATATCAAACCAGGTGAGAGCTTTCAAAGTACTTTTGTCAGTGAAGACATGAGCACTACTTGATGGTGGTTTTAGTGTTCTTTGAGTGGCACTGGTGGATTTTACATTATGAGCTTTCATTCTGTTTCTCATCAGTGTACTTCACAGAGATTCTTTTCCAAAATTGATGTCTATTTTCCTATGTGCTGGGTACCATATAGTACAGGAGAGATAAGAGGTAAATCAGGCTCCTGCCCTGAGGCACTGGGGCTGGATCCTCTGATGCTATCAGTGGTGTGACTGGGGTATTTTTTTTTCCCTGACTGTTTCTCCAGTTTCTCCTTTCCAGAGATGAGACTCTGCAGGTGGCCAGTGCCCATTGTATAACTGCAGTGTTGGTCCACTCTCCAGTGAAGCATGCCCCGGCTTTTATCCATGCTGACATCCCAGGTAAGGAGCCCCTCTAATCCTCTCCTCCATGGACCCCATGGTTTCAGTTGGAGCCCTGAGGATCACAGCAATGGCAGCATCCTTGTCAGGGGATCTTTGATAGCTCACACCAAAGAAATGGGGTGGGTACAGGGTCAGTTTTATGTGAAGTAGGCTTCATAATTTCTTTATCCTCTTGCTACATATTTCTTTATATGATCTTGAGTAATTTGTTCCTGCTTTTTGTGATTTATTTGAATTTCTAGGAGTAAAACCTAGTGTGGGGTAGAGAAAAATCTGTAGGTCAGAAAGGTAAAGGGAACTAATGTTTCTCTAGGACCTGTAAGGAGCCAGGAGATATGCCCTGAGGTGCTTATAAATGTTACCACATTTAATTCCTCACTTTGGTGGGGGGAATGACTAGGGATTGAATCCAGGGATATTTAACCACTAAGTCACATCCCCAGCTCATTTTTTTAAAATATTTTTTTTAGATATTGGTGGGCCTTTATTTTATTCATTTATTCATATGCAGTGCTGAGAATTAAACTCAGTGTCTCACACATGCTAGGCAAGTGCTCTACCACTGAGTCACAGCTCCAGTCCCCCAACCCACTTTTAAATTTTTATTTTGAGATAGGGTCTCACTAAATTGCTTAGGACCTCGCTAAGTTGCTGAGGCTGGCTTTGATCTTGTGATCCGGACTCCTGCCTCAGCCTCCTGAGCTGCTGGGATTATAGGCGTGTGCCACTGCTTCAACGCACATACCCATTTTTATAGGAGATGTGGGTGTATGGGGAATGTAAACCAACTTGAGGGGTTGTAAATGAAATTGAGGGGAAATGAGGCTCAGAGAAGGGTAATAACTGGTTCAAACCCACAAGGCTCATCATGGGGCAGAGATGGGATATAAAATCAAGTTTCTCTGACTCTGAGAAATCTTTTTCTGCATCATATTGCTGCCATCCTGAGAATTAAGAGACCTGAGTTCCATAAGTTCCAGTCCTACTTCTGCCACTGACTGTGCCTCTCTTGCCTCATTTTCTCCATCTGTTAAAAAGAAATGATTTAGACCAGAACCCTGAATACTTTACAGTTTTATCTGCGAATTGATGACCATGTCTCATGGAGAGGGTGTGTGAACAGAAACAGCATCAGGATTAAGATGCTGAATACATCCAAGGCCTTTGCATCAGTTAAAGGGTTGTGATCTCATGGCTGTCATTTATTGTTTTCTTCCCCCCTGCCTGGCCAGAATTCCTCTTTGAGCATCTTTCCTCATCCAGTGAAGTGCTCATCTGGTCCATCTACAACTGCTTGATACTCCTGGCAGAAGAGCCACTCTTCTTTTCCAAGTGTCACACGGTGTATGGTTGGTAGTGTGGGTCCTGTATTAGCTCTGGGTCTGGTTGACAGATGTTTGAAATTGGTAGTAGTAGCAGTGATGGGGAGCTGGCCTCTACTTGAGGAAAGCACTAGACTGAGAATTTCCATCATCTGAAACACATTACCAGATTCAGTATATAAGCACCAATATCCAAATGGTTCTGCTGTTCACTGATTAGCAGAAATATGTTTAGACTCTTCAGCAAGGGAAAGGCCTTCCAATTAGCTGCTAAATGAATTCCTGTTGCACATTAAAGACAATTCTAAATGTTACTCGGTCTTGGATTCAGTCACTACATACTCCAGATATATGTTCATCTAGTTAGTCCTTAAGTTTTGTTAATTTCATCCTTTTAAAGTTTCTTGAAACTGTCCTTCCCCCTACCATACTGATGATGCTGTTTTTGTTGGGACTTTTTATTATCACATCTGGATTTTTAGAATGGGCACATTTAATCATTCATTTTAAATTTTCTCTTCTTAGTCTATGCCAGGCTAGGTCTTGGATATTTGGAAAGACTTATAGCATGGTCCTTATCCCCAGGAAGTGGAGAGAGATTTGTGAACAGGCAATTTCATTAGAAACTCATTAGAGCTGTGCTAAATGGAAGCATAAGGACTGTGGGAGCTCAAGGAGGTTTACATCTCTGCCTGAATGGATCAGGGAAGGCTTCCTGGAGGAGCAGAGGTTCAAGCTGATTCTTCAAGGAGGAGTAGGAGTATGTCAAATAGAGAATATGTAACTTGGTCAGTAGGTATTTACCATCAAGGCCTGTACTGTGGCTTGTACTAAGGTAGGGGAGACAGAGATTATTCTAATGAAAGTCTGTCCTTGAAGATCTCCCAGCTGGGTCTCATAGGCTTAACTTCATCAGGGTTCCTCCATAAGGGTTCCTCCAGCCAGTAGGTACTACCCAGAGCATGTCACCTCTCTTGGGTGGGTGATGAAGGAACTGTAGAGTACTGATCCCTGGCCTCTAGCATGTCATCTTGAATTAGGGATTGAGGCAGTGGTGAGGAGCCTCCAGGGAAGCCTGAAGCTGACCAACACAGAGCTGCACAAGCAGGGCCTGCTGCTGTTTGCTGAGATCCTGACTAGGTGAGCAAAGTGGGAGAGCATCACACCCATAGGGGCCAGACTGGAAAAGGAAAAGTGAGCTTTTATTTCTGGTTGCCAGTAGTAGGAGTTCACCCATTTGCTTCTCGTCCACCATTCTCCAGGCAGCCGGAGGAGATCAGGCTGTTCACAAGCTCAGCCATGTGTGGGGATGCCGGCCGTGCCCTCCAAGAGGCAGTGAGCAGCCCTGTGCTGGAGGTGGCTGCTGAGGCCGTGAAGGCTGCTTCTGCTTTCCTGAGGTGAGAGACCCTGCAAAACAGAGCTTTCTACCAGCCATGTACCTAGGAGCTGGTCAAGGCCAGGCAGCTTCCAAGGGCGTTTTTTTTTTTTTTTTGTTTTTTTTCAGTTATATCTTTTTCTTCTGTATTAATTTTGTTCTCTTTTTCTGGGGTTGCTGTTTAGATGATGGGAATCCTGGATTGTTCATCTAATTTTGTTTTCTGAGAGTTTTTCATCTTTTTACCACTGTGTATTAATTTCTGGGAGATTTTCTTGACTTTTTCTTTCAATACATTGTTTTATTTTTTACTTTGTATTTTTAATTTGGAAGAGCTTAATGTTTATTTTATAGTATTTTGTTCCATATTTGTTTCATGGGCGTAATTTTTACCTTTCTGAGAAGAGTTTTATTGAAGTACTCATTTTTCTTCAGTCTTCTTTATGTTGCTCTTTTGTTTTTTGTATTGCTTTTACTTGGGAAGTTTTCTCAGATGTCTGCTGATCTTTGACTACCTTATTACACTTAAGGATGAGGCACTAGAAAGCTCATGGGAAGTTCTTTGTTTGAGTGGGGCTGAGAAGCTGTGGGTTTCATTAAGGAAAAGCTGGAGGGATCCTGATGTCAGGATCTTAAGGTCTCCCCTCAGGCTGGTCAGGTTAGAGGATACTCTTCAGGCTCCTGCTTAGAGGAGCCCCACTTAGTGGCTAAGTGGGGCCTCTCAACATTCACAGCGTGAGCTTTGTGAGCTTCTCTACATTCTCAGTAAGTATCTTCTATCTGAACAATTCAGAGGCTCTCTGTTTCACCTTCAGAGAATAAGTCTCTAAACTCCTGCCAGGGGAAGGAAGATAAGTCGCTTTGTTAATATGGTCTCATGGAAGGGGTTGGAGTCCATTTGCTTTTATTTGTTTATCTTTGTATGTGGTGCTAAGGATGGAACCCAGTGTCTCACACATTCTAGGCAAGTGTTCTTCCACTGAGCTAGAGCCCCAGCCCTCCATTTGCTTTTAAACAAACTAACAACCAGTTTTTCTGTTTTATTCTAGACTTTACTCCCACTTCTGTAGGACTTGTTGCTACTAATTCTTCTGCCTTTTGAAGGGTTCCTGGAGTAAATAAGGTTACTTCTTAGTTTTCCTGCTGCTGAATCAGGATTCTGCTTTCAGAGAGCTGTCAAGGCATTTACTTTCAGAGTGTTACATACTCATGTCTTTTGTATTTTCCTTGTTGTTTTGAATTTATATCTTGGGGGGAAAAAAAAACTCTTTTATTTTGGAAAGGAGTAGCAGAGATAACTGTACTTGTTGGCTCTAACATCTTAAACTAGGAGCTGGCAACTCTTGAACACTCTCTATCCCTGGTTCTCTTACTGTAGCTTCTCCTCAAATGCTCTTATCTACACACAGAACTTCAGCTCCTAGCTCTGGGCTGATGATGCTCAGATCTATAGTTCTTGCCTAACATGGCTGTGTTACTTTCCAGTTATCACAAATTACCATAAACTTGAGGGTTTAAAACAACAGACATTTATGTTTTCATCGTTCTAGAGGCCAGAAGTCCAAAATCAATACAACTAGACTGAAATCAGGATATCGGCAAGACTGCACAAGCTTTAGAGGCTCTGAGGGAGAGTCCTCCTTGACTCTTATACTGCTGGTTGCTCCAGGAGTTCCTTGGCTTGTGGCCACATCACTCCACTGTGATCATCTTACCTTCTCCTCTGTGTATGTGTCTAATCTCCCTCTGCTTCTTTCTTTTCTTTTCTCTTTCTTTCTTTCTATTTTAGTTTTAGGTGGATACAATATCTTTATTTTTATGTGGTGCTGAGGATTGAAACTAGTGCCTCATGCATGCTAGGCGAGCACTCTACCACTGAGCCATAACCCCAGCGCCCTCTGCTTATTTTTGATAAAGATACTTGTGATGACATTTAGGGCCCACCTGGATAATCGTCTCATCTAAAAATCCTTAATTCTATCTGTAAAAGCTTTACCTAGAAAGCAACATGCACACATTTTGGGATTAGGACCTGACACCTTTGGGTCAGGTGTCAAGTCCTAATCCCAAAATATGTGCATTTTATCCAAAATTCATGACAGTATTTTCCTGGGCTCCAGACATTTCCAACTCCTAGTGCCTTATTCCAGAAACTTAAAATTCAATTTGTTTATGCCACCAGGAGATAGAGGAAAGATAATTCAATTTTGGATTTAGAATTAGATTTGAGTCCTCAACTCCACAATTAATACTCAGTCACTTCTTGCTCACTCCTGTGGCCTTTCGTTTCTTGAACACACCAAACTTATTCCTGCTGTAGGAATAATTGTTCCCTCTGCCTACAATATTCTTCCCTTAAATCTTTGCATGACTGGCTTCTTCTTATTCTTCAGGTCTTATTCAGAGTATCCTTCCCTAACTGACCTATCAGGCTGCTCTAGCACATACCCAACACTCAAGAGTTCTGTTTTACTCATTTGTTTTGTATTCTCCCTTCCTAAAATATAAGTTCCAAGCTTTGTTATTATTTTCATTGCTATATCTCTCATTCCTAATAGGTAGTAAATATATAAATAAAGGATATAAAAATGGATGGTGAGACTAAGAGATCATAGAGTTAAGATGAGAAATTATTTCTTAGTAAGATGCTGAAGTCTTGACAAAAAGTAACTGAGGAAACTGTATTTATCTGTTACATTGTTTTCTCAAGTTTTATTTTGTTCCCGTGTTTTTCTCTTTTATATTTCTAATAAAGCAATAATTCAAATAATAGAAATTTAAAAGTACAGAGGGTTTGTCCCTGGAGAAATTCTGAGGAGTTCCCAGAGAGGGGGACCTCAACTCAGGATGAGTGGGGTTCTTTTTTTTTTTAAATATCTTATTTTATTTTTTAGTTGTAGGTGAACACAATATCTTTACTTCATTTTTATGTGGTGCTGAGGATCAAACCCAGGGCCTCACGTGTGCTAGGCAAGCACTCTGCCACTGAGCCTTAACCCCAGCCCAGGCTTTTTGACAAACATCACAAAAATGAATTTAAGGGCATGTCAGAGACACAGATTTATATAGAAAAGCAGAGACACATACAAGGGAGAACACAGGTCACCCTGAGAGTAAGAGATACTTTTTGGGGTTCTCAGTCACTCACTCTCTCTCTTTTTTTAAGGAAACTTTTAAAGAAAGTGGGAATGGGAAAGAATATGGGGCTGACATCAGTCTGGTGATCATGAGATGGTTTATGTTGGTCTGGCAATTCTCAGGATCTTTAGGCTGACAATGTCTTCATTATCTGATCAGTGGATAATGTTGGAAAGTACCTTCTTAAAAATATTGTATCTCTTTTCACTTAATCTATTTATTGCACAAGGAAATTTTCCTAAGTGAGTAAATTTATGGTAACTCTAAGATTTGCAGATTTCTCAGAATTTTGAGTGTGCAGTTATGCTCGAATTTGGGACCCCCAAAAGACCACCAGAGACCAAGATCGATGTAAGCAGCAAAGAGGTGTTTATTGCGAGCTAGCTCGGTCCTCCACGCACACACACAGCAACTGGTGATGCTGAGAGGCCCCGAGAGCCCAGGGTTGCAGCAGTTTTATACATTCTTTGGGGAAGGCAGGGACCCCCACATACATCATAGCATCTCTTAGCAAGTCATCACACACCGCGGGAAAATCAAATAACAACTCTAAAACATGATTAGCACATTCACTGGCAGGAACAAGTTGGGTAGGGGTGATTGGTTACTACAAGAGGGGGATTCATTTGAACTGACTGGTTTAAGCCAAGAGGGGTGTTCATGCTGAACTACACGGTTTCCCAACACCATAAACTACTGGGAGGGTCATCTGACATCCCAGGTATTTCCCTGTCTCATGCTGATTGGTGGCTACTAGGGGATTGCTATGGGTCCCCACCTAGCCAGACTGAGTCAGGGACACCTGGCGCAGCAGATCTCTCCTGTTATTTGTAGATAAACAACTTAGCAGGGTGGGAATGTGCCTAGGAGTGCTCTGTGGGTCTTTCCAAGGACAAAGGTCATGTCCCTTCCTTGGACAGGCTTTGCTCTGAGGTAGAGGCTGGTTTTTCGGTGCCAGGCCTGGGAAAGAAAACTGGCTTAGGCAGTGACAAACATTTCCTTTTGTCTCTTTTGTACCTATCTTTTTTTTTTTTCTATCCTGCCTCAGGTTTATAATGAAAATGAGCACCTCTCTAATTCTGTCTCCATGTCCTAAAGAAGACTAATTTAAACTCATTTTGGTTTAGTTCTGTTTATTATCTCCCTAAAGCTATATCTTTATTTGTCAATTTAAGACATTGCTCCTTGACTCTGCAGTACAAAACATCAAGGTTAAGTAGCTTACTTTTTTTGTTTTCTCTACATCTTGGCATTTTTGCTAGTTAATATTTTATGTCGTCAAGCCTTTAAATAATATACTAAAAGCTCGTATTTCCCATTCCCTCAGCTTAAGGCAGTGTTCTGGAATCCCATTCTTTCACACCACCCCATCTTCCTTCTCCTTTTCTCCCTCCTTTCTACTTCTCAAGGTCAGTCAGCTCTATTTTCATTTTACCTTATATAAAGGTTGTTAATATTTATAGTCTCTTCTAGAACCATTTTTAAGTCTTTGTGATTTGACTCCCCCTTGGTTCTAAAAATTGAAATGAAAAAACAGCATTTACATTACAATGACTTCAGTCTATCTCCCTTCTCCCTTTGTCCTTCCCTGGATTTGAATCTCTAAATCTGGGTGTGATGGGCTGGGGATGTGGCTCAAGCGGTAGCACGCTCGCCTGGCATGTGTGCGGCCCGGGTTCGATCCTCAGCACCACATACAAACAAAGATGTTGTGTCTGCCGAAAACTAAAAAAATAAATAAATATTAAAAAAATAAAAATAAAAAAAATAAAAAAAAATAAAATAAATCTGGGTGTGAATCCCTGGGAGGGTAAAATGAGTAAACCAGCAGGGTACCAAAGGTGCAGCATGAGAACAAGTCAGTCAGAGGTTCCTGTGGAGAGCTGGAACTCTTTCAGGAGGTGGGTGCAAAGGGGACAGAAGCACCTTTCAGGCAGGTGGTGATGTTTGAGCTGTGCTAGGAGAGATGAGGGAGAAGTTTGTGTGTGGAAGGACAGGGTTAGCAGAAGCAGGAGGGTGGGAAAGCATAGGGATTACTGAGGGTACAGAAGCCAGTTGAGCCAGGACTGTACATGAAGGGGGTTAGTGCTGGAAGAGGCTAGAAAGCTGATTTAGTCAGAATTGGGGAGAGAGAGAGGGGAGGGTGCGTTTTAATCTTTAAATGATTTTACTTTTTTTATTTTTTGCAATACTGAGGATTGAATCCAGGGACACTGGGCTATACCCCCAGTTCTTTTTATTTTTTTATTTTGAGATAGGGTCTTACTAAGTTGCCAAGGCAAGCCTCAAAATTGAGATCCTCCTGCCTCAGTCTCTAGAGCAGCTGGGATTTTTAAGTGTGCACTATTGTGCCTAGACAGGACTTTACTTTTGACTTTAACTTCCCAGAATGTTTACTGAGGTGATCCCTCTTAGGTGCAGTGGTTCCAGAGGGTCTCTGGGAAGCACAACTTAAAGGAAGACTAAGGATTAAAACTGTTGAAAAATATTTAAGTACAATGGAACCAGAGTTTGATGATCATTGTAGGTTAGGAACTAAGAGCTTCCAAGCTAGGCTTATGGGCATTCACCTAAGATTCCATCTACTCAGGAGGCTGAAGCAAGAGAAACGATTGAGCCCAGAAGTTCAAGACCAGCCAATAAAACCCTGTCTCCAAATGCTCACGAGAGCGTGTGAGCAAGGGAGGGGGAGGGGGGAGAGAGAGAGAGAGAGAGAGATTGAGATCAATTTAGAGCTTCCCAAAATGAAGAAGGAAAGGGACAATGAGGCCTAAACTATATATAGTTGACTGAGACACTAACCCTAACCTATTAAGGCTCACCCAGGGAGGAATTAAAGATGGGAGATTAGAGGAAGAGTTCATTTCCCAGTTGCTCCATGGCTCAGGATTCAAGCACTAGGAGTACTGCTTTTCAGCAAGTAACATTCTTGAATCTAGACCTTGGAATTCCGCTTGAAATCTCCCCAAAGAGTCCAGTGTGATGGGGCATGCATGTAATCCCAGTCACTGGGAGACTGGGGCAGGAGGATCATAAGTTCAAGGTCAGCCTCAGCAACTTGGCAAGATTCTGTCTCAAAATAAAAAATAAAAAAGGATTGGGGATGTAGCTCAGTGGTTCAATCTGTAGGACTGGAAAAAAAAAAATCTCCCAAAAGATAATATCAGCCCTCAGAAACTAGACATTCATTCCACACATACTTACACGGAAGTAAACAGGCTCAAACATTGCCTTGTACAGCAATCCCAATTGGCAGTGCCTTGCTGTGTCTGAGACTGGACAGGAGGAACCCATCATCACTATGATGAACAATCATCCATCTCTTGCCAGGAGCACAAAGTTCTGAATGATTTTGGCTTCCCAGTTGACAGATTTATTCATGTGGCTTTTTCTCAAGACTCTAAACACATATTGACTCAGACTTCACCTCAAGAGTCAACACTTGTCTATTGGCTATAAGAAAAGCAGAAAGTAATGGCCATTGTTAGAACCAAAACTCAAAACAACCCCATCTACTAGATTCCTGTGGACCCACACAACAATAACCCAAGTCAGCCTGTAGACAGGATGTTCTGTGCATGTGTTTTGGCATCTCAGAGGGAACTCTGGTCACCAGCACCAGTAAAAACCAGGTTTACAGCAACACAGTGTCCTTGACAGATCAGCAAGCACTCTGGTACCATTTAAGGAACACCAAGAAGAGGCATATGCAGTCAGCCTTCACCCATCTAGATACTTCATTGTGGTAGGGTTTGCTGACAAACTATACCTTGTGTATCTACTCATAGATGATACACTTCTGACAAATATCTCAGTGTCAGAGGATGCAGAGAGGTAAAAACTACTGGAGATAAAGGTCCAGTTTCTTAGAAAGCTAGGGTTGAAGAACCAACATGCTGAGGAGGTGGGACCAAAGCCTGTCTTACAGAACTATAGTGGCTCAAAAAAATGCAACATTTCTTCCATCAAACTCATAAAGTATGTGGTTCTACCCCTGTTTTCTTATACCAACCAAAATATTTCATTGAATCTAAAACTTTGTGGGATCCCACCTATAGTAAGTCTGCTCTGTGATCTTGGATTCTTAACAAATATTGAAAAAGAGAATCTCAAGCTGGGTGTAGTGGCACATGTCTGCAACAATCCCAGTGACTTGGAGGCAGAGGCAGGAAAATGGCAGGTTTGAAGCCAGCCTGGGCAACGTAGGCACTAAGAAATTTAGAGAGAGCCTGTCTCGAAACAAAAAATAAAAAGGGGTGAGGATGTAGCTCAGTGGTAAAGCACCCTGAGTTCAATCCCCAGTATGAGAGAAAGAGAGAGAGAGAGAGAGAGAGAGAGAGAGAGAGAGAGAGAAATCAGGATGTACATCCCAGCTGGGATGGTGAGAAAGAGATTGAGAGGAGCTGGAAATTGGCCAAATTACAAATTATGCTCTGGGCATATGTGAATATATCACAATGAATTTCACTTTTATGTATAACTATAATATACCAATTAAAAAACAATGTTAATAAATTAAAAGAAGATTAATAGAATAGAGGATGGGGATTAAGGAGAGGGAAAAGGGATTGAGAAGAATGAACATGTACACCTTTATGAATATGTCACAGTAAACCCCACAATTATGTATAAAAAAATGCCTTAATAAAAATATTAACACAGGGGCTGGGGCTGTAGACCAGTGGCAGAGTGCTTGCCTAGCACATGTAAGGCATTGGGTTCGTTCCTTAGTACCACATAAAAATAAATAAAGGCATGTTGTCCATCTACAACTATAAAAAATTTAAAAAATATATATTAAGGGCTGGGGTTGTGGCTCAGAGGCAGAGTGCTTGCTTTGCACATGTGAGGCACTGGGTTCGATCTTCAGCGCCACATGAAAATAAATAAACAAAATAAAGATATTTTAAAAATATATATATATATACACACATACACACACCCACAAAAAGGAACCAGCAGTGAGGTTTTCAGGCTTTTTCTTACTTTATTACTTTACTTTTATTATTTTAGTTACTTTATTGAGTTGCCTAGCATCTCTCTAACATTATGTCTATCCAGAAGCTATGACTGTGCCTTATTTGGAAATAGGGCCTTTATAGATGTCTTTAAGATAAGGCTACACAGCAGGGGCTCTATTTGCCATGACTGGAGTCTAAGAGAGGGAGATTTGGATGTACAGCGACACAGACACACCCAGAGGGAAGAGGTTCATATGAAGGCAGAGGCAGAGATTGGAACCATGCAGCTGTAAGCCAAGGAATGCCATGGGTTGCTGGCAACAACCAGAAGCTAAGGAGAGGCATGGAAGGATTGTTCCTAGGATCTTTTGGAGGGAATGTGGACCTGCTGACAGCTTGATTTTATATTTCTACCCTCCAGATCTGTGAGGGAATAAACTTCTATTGTTTGAAGTCACCAGTTTGTGATAATCTATTATAGTGGCCCTAGGCAACCAGTAATCCAATCAAGTAGTCACTAATTTATTTAAAAATTAAAAATTTTGAGACAGTCTTGCCAACTTGCCAAGGGTGGCCTCCAATTTGAGATTCTCATGCCTCAGTTTCCTGAATATCTGGGATTATAGGCATGCACCACTGTGCCCAGATAACATCTTTTTATTTTTTTTTGCAGTACTGGGGATTGAGTAACTTCTTTATTTAGCATCAATTTGCAATGCATGTAGCTCTGTTTAAGGTCAGTGGCCTCTTTGCACTTATAATTAGACTAGTCAATGACTCTTGCCTCCTTTGAGTCTATAGAACAGGAGGGTTCAAATAGACCCTAAGTGTTACCTATTCATATTTACCCCATACTCATGATGATGGAATTTCCAAAAGTAGTTCTCCAGCCTTTGCTTATATCTCATAGAATGGGGAATTCACTTTAGACCCTCTACCTCTACAGAGTTTCAACTCTAGAAATACTGAAATAAAATCTGGGTCCTGATAACTTTACTTATTGATCCTGGCTTTTGCTGTTAAAATAATACAGAATAAGGTTGGTTTGATTTCCCAGGAGTGCTTATCATCTACTTGACAGCAGTGGCCATTGCATCCATTGATGCACATTCTAGAGAGTTCTAGAGAATGCTGCTTTTACTAGGAGGCCCTTTGAGGTGAGAAAACACTGTGTCCTTAATAATAATAACCATGACTGGTATTGGTAAGAACTTGCTATGCATCGACACTGGGCTAAGTGTGTGACTTATGTTAGCTAATTTGATCCTCAGAATCTTTCTATGAGTACAGTACTGTTCACCTTTGTCATGCAGTTACAGAAGGATTAGAGCAAGGATTTTTATCAGATAAAACCCCATGTTCTGAGCCACTTACACTGTCTTCTTTTGCTGAAGAGCCTGAAGTGATCTTGGGAGTTTCTTACCGCCTCCTGAGCCTGCTTTTGTCTCTCTGGATGCAGGAAGGACCATCAGAGTGCTCCACCTGTGCAGTACCGGGCCCTGCGGGCCTTGCTGGAAGCCATGCTGAGCCGATGCTGGGAGTTTTCCCAGACCCCACTGAACAGGAGGTCCTTGGTCAGTGCAAACTGCAGCCTGCTTCTTCTCAAGCTTCTGCTCTAATGTGTTCTTAGAAAGATAATTAGTACATTGCCTTATCTTGGTATGCTATTTTATAGTTTTTTTCTCATGTGCATACACCTACAATGAGATGTTATTTTTTTTCCTAACTGCAGTACTATGAGACTTAAGTGTTACTATCTCCATTTAAAAAAAAACAAAACAAAACTTTATTTATTTATTTTTTAGATGTTGATAGATCTTTATTTATTTGTTTATATGTGGTGCTGAGAATTGAACCCAGTGTCTCACACATGCCAGGCAGGTACGCTGCTGTTGAGCCACAATCCCAGCCCCTAATATCTCCATTTTTATAAATCAAACTCCTGAAGCCACAAGGGTCCAAAATTTAACAAGTACCTGAATCTGCTTAGTAAATCCCAGGGTGTTTGTATCCAAACCTATTTTGTTGCTTTATATCTTCCAAGCATGTATGGAAACATGCTCAGAAAATTATTTAAGGGTAGATTCATTAGAATTTTACAATCTGACCAATGTTCATTGTGTTATAATTGTTGGCTTTTTTTTTTTCTTTTGATACTGGGAATTGGACCCAGGGGTGCTTTGCTACTGGCTATGTTCCCAGCACTTTTTATTTTGAGAGAGGGTTTCACTCAGTGGCCCAGGCTAGCCTTGAATTTGGGATCTTTTAGCCTTAGCTTCACGAGTAGCTGGGATTATAGGCATGTGCTACTGCACCTGGCTGTTGGTTTTTTTGTTGTTCTTTGTTTTGTTATCCTGTGTTTTGAACCCTGTTTTCAAAGAGCTACTCTAACAGAGTAGATTTGTGAGGATAAGACCAAGATCCCATGGAAAGTTAGGTGTATGTGAATGGCAGACATAGACCTAACTTTGTGAATGTATGTATGTGAATGCAGTATAAATAGAGGAGGTCTGTGGCCATGCAAGCATACACTAGGCCACAGTAGGTTCCTGACACATAGGTTCCTCTCTTCTCACCTCAGGGCAATAGAGACTCAGAGAAGGCCATTCTTCGAAGGGGAAAGTTCCTCCTGAGCACTCTGGAGGGATTTAGAAATGCCTGCAGGTGAGGAGCCCTCTGTGGTCTGAGGCAATAGTACAGGGGTAGGGGGTGGGGAGAGGTGGGAGGGGTTCAGACAAAGGATGAAGTTCTAGAAGCACTTGATTTTTGATACTCTGCTGCATGCTGAGAAGACTGGCTGGGGCTGGGGCTGGGGTTGGGGTGTGTTGAGGAGGTCTGAGGACAGATAGGTGGGATAGGAAGTTTCTTAGAATGTTTCAAGATTTCCTTCCTGGTGAAGCCTTTGTTACTATGCCATGAGATTGTGTCTCATTCACCTTTCTTTCTCCCGCAACTGGCCTAGCGCTGTAGCTATTCATTGATTCCAGTTTACTTCAATAGATGTTGCTTGTATCTGCTGTGCCAGGCCTGATGCCAGCTAGAGAGGGTAGAAGCATTTATCAGAATGACTCCTGCCTGCAAGGGGATCACAGTTTCTGGGGGAAGAGGCAGCTTTGGTATATAAGTGGAATTTGTTAGGTTGGCAAAAATGCAGGGAAGGTATTCCAGGAACACAGAGAGTAACACAGGAAAAGGCAAAAAGATATGCATAGCATGGGATGCTCAGGGAGGTATACATAGTGGGGTAGAAGAGTCATGTGTGATGGACAGATGGAAGCTGGAGGGGTAGTCAAGAACATAGTCCTCAACGAGAGCTCTTAAATTTTCTCTAGATCTGGTGTTGGGGTAGTTTCCCTGGATCCTGAGTCCAGCTGTCTGTCAGGAAGGTACTTCTAACCCTTATGGTAGTGGACATGCTCATATATTGATTTCCTAGGTTGGCTGTGGAATTCCAGGGTGAGCCTATTGCCCAAGAGAATCCCTTCACAGCTCCCAGTGCCGAGAAGGAAGACACCTTGGAGGACTTCTCAGAATTTCTTCTCAGTGCCTGCGACTCCCTGTGTATCCCCATGGTGATGGTGGGTTCCCCTGAGCCACAGGCAGCACAAAGCTTGGGGAACAGAAGAATGTGAGGGCAAGCCAGACCTGGTCTTGCAGAGCTTCATTTGGAGCTGACTTGAGATTGAGATGATAGGAAGAGTAAGAGTCAGAGCTATTGATTGAGGTCACCTGGAGTCCTCTCCTGTTGGAGGCTTGGGCATCTGGTGAGCCTGTGAAATCCCTGTCAGAAAAAGGCAGGCACTGCTAGACACCTACTGGGAACGGTAGGTGGCAGCAAAGAGGTACCCCTGACTGTGGGAGAGAGCTTCTTTTTCTTGAAGAAAACTTTGAGGGCTGGGGTTGTGGCTCAGCGGTAGAGCACTTGCCTCACATGCACAAGGCCCTGGGTTCGATCCTCAGCACCACGTAAAAATAAAATAAATAAGTGAAATAAAGGTATTGTGTCCAACTATAACTAAAAAATAAATATTTACAAAAAAAAAAAAAAAGGAAAAAGAAAACTTTGAGCAGTAACCGCCCCCTACCCCATCTGCTGTGTTCCTGACAGATAATAGTAGTGCATTAACAGCAAGACAGGGCAATTCAAGTCAGTTTCCTCATCTGTTCTGCCTTTGCCTAGATTTGAGAAATATAGAGCTGGACCTAGAAGTTGATCATAGTATTATTATGTTATTCCTGCTTCCTACTTTTCTGTATTTTATACATTTTCTTTAAAGAGCACATATTACTTTTATAATAATATTTTTAAAATTTGGTTTTAAAACTAAAGGAATAATGTGTATAAGAACAATGCCTCTGAAGCCTGAGCTGTTCACACATAGGGAACTGATGCCCAGAGAGGGGAGGAGGTGACTGACCCAGGGACACAGGGGCAGCTCTGTATAGAGCTTGCACTAGAACCCAAGTTTCTTTGCTCTTAATCCAGAGCTGCATGTCAGGCTGCCTCATGACTCTGTTCAAGGATCACATGAATGATAGTGTGAAGGTAGTTTGTAAACTATAATATTATTGCTATTATTTTTTATTATAGTAATAGAAACACGAATGCCTCTCTGTGGTTTAGAGAGCGCTTTTTACATGTTATGTTCATTTCTGGGAGGTAGGTCTTTTGTTAGTTTCATCTTACTCTTTTGTGAACAGAGAGAAGCCCCCTTAAGGTGAAATATCTGGCACCACCTTTAAAGTGGCAGATCCAGGACTTCTAGTTTTTCTTGTGTCCTTCAGATGAAAGGGATTAGGCTACTGTTGCTAGATTTGATATCCATTTTTGCAGATGCTTTTCCTTCTTCAGAGGCTCAGGACTGGTAGGCTTTATTCTCCCTTCTGGTCCTTTCAGAGGCACCTGGAGCAGGCTACCCACCCAGCCTTGATGGAAGTTTTCCTCTCGATTCTGCACAGCCTCTTTATCATCGTTCCCCACATGAAGAAAAAGTTCTCCAAGAAGCTTGGTAGGCAGCAGGCCCATGGGGAAGTTGGGAGGGAGGGAGGCAGTATAGATAGCTGCTCAGAGTAGTCAGAGCATACGCTATGCGATGGACATTTACGTATTTGTCAGTATCTATGTATTCCTTCTCTGTCCAGTGTTGATTGAGAGCAAATAGCACGCAGCAATCAAAAGCCATGAAAGGCAGCTCTCCAATTTATTGACCCTTCTCTCTGCTGAAGTCTAGGAGGCTTAGTGTCCACCATACACGCCCTTCCCCCTTCCTGTCAGACTCCATATCCCTGGGACCTCACACAGCATTTGTCTGACTCCTAATCACTAAATGCCAGAGCACCCCTATTGTGACAACTATAAGAGATCCCTATATACTTCCAAATGCCTTTGAGGGGAACAGTAGCACTCTGCAAAAGCTTCTATTGAGTCAACCACTGATAGTCCTTCCTAAAATTGAGCCAAGTGGCTTTCGATTCCTTCAGCCTTCTCTAGCCTTTCTTGTGTCCTTTTGTTTCCTTCTCTTACTAGTCATATTTCTTTCTCAAGTATAGACCTCCCTTTCCTGTTTCACCAGTTTTTACCTGGAAATTCCTCAGTTTGCAGAATAAGCTCAAGAATCACAGTCTCCTTTATTCTTTCTAGAAAGTGGTAGCAGTGAGCTTGGCATAGTGGCACAGGTCTGTAATCCCAGCTACTTGGGAGGCTGAGGCAGGAGGATTGCAAATTTAAGACCGGTCTGGGCAACTTAATGATAAGTCCCTGAAACCCTGTTTCAAAATACAATAAAAAGGGTTTGGGATGTAGCTCAGTGGTTGACCTTCCCTGGGTTTAATCCCCAGTAACAACAACAACAAAAAAAAGTGTTAGCAATGGTGAGAATGGAAAGGGGGATGACCAAACACAGAAGGAGGGAAGAAAACAGTAGTAATAATTAAGAACTAGTCATTAATAACTAATAGATAGTAATAATCAGCATTTAAGTTCTTACTGTATATGACACATTATTTTAAGTGCTTTACACTTAATTGATTCATTTAGTCTTCAGAAGAACTCTAGGAATTGTGCATTATCCCCATTCTGATGAACAAATGGAATCTCAGAGAGGTTAGTTACTTGCCCAAGGTCATACTGTAAGTGGCATGCCAGGTTTCAAACTCAGGGAATATGTCTCTAAAATCTGCTTCCTTAATGTCTTCCCTATACCTGTCTCTTAACATCACCATTTCATATCTTCTTTTCTATTTTGTCACAAAGCATGCTGTGGAAAATGTGACAGGTCTACCAGAGAGAGGTAGCCTGGGCTTACTCACACAGGGCCTCCTTGGCCATGTGAGGAATTTAGACTTGATTCTTTGTTGAGTCTTAAAGAAGGGAAAGGACATGCTTAGATTTTTGTTTTAGAAGGATCCTCTCCTAGCAGCACTGTGCGCATGGCAGTGGACTGCAAGTTGTGAAGTGGGAGGCAGGGCTCAGCCTCTTGCATTAACAGGTTGGCGGCAGGAACTGAGGTAGTGTTGGGGGATGGAGTAGTTGGAGTAATTGGAGTAGTTGGATGTCAGGCACAGGGAGAGGGAACAGCCAGGTGTCATCTACCTGGAGAGAGTGGCTTTTTGTTTGTTGTTTCTTTTCTGGTGCTAGAGATTGAACCCTAGGCCTCACCCATGCAGATGGTAGTGTTTTATTGAGAGCTGGCTCACTGGAGGAGGATCTGATTTATTTATTTATTTGGTACTGGGGATTGAACCCAGGGAGTCTTTGCCACTGAGCTACATCCCAAGCTCTTTTTTTTTTTTTTTTTTTTGAGACAGGGTCTCACTAAGTTTCTTAGGGCCTTGCTAAATTGCTGAGGCTGGCCTTGAATCCTCCTGCCTCAGCCTTCCGAATTGCTGGAATTACAGGTGTGTGCCACTACACCTGAATGAGCATCTGATTTGGGGATGCAGGAGAGCCCACGCTCAGTTTGGTTCAGGGCATGTGTGAGATACCTGTGAGATGTTCCTGTGGAGATGTGGGCAACTGTGTATTAAAGGCAGGGAAGTGATCTGGTTTTATAGATGTTTTTAGAATCCAGGCTTTCATTCATTCAGCAAATATTTATTGGGTGCCAACTGCATGCAAGACGCTGTCCTAGGGCTGAGGATGTAGCAGTGAACAAGATAGAACTCTATTCCAGTGGGGATGGCCCTGTAGTGGGGAGCAGGTAAGATTCCTCAGGGCTGAATGTGCACACTGAGACAAGAGGGGTCAAGATAAAATCAAGAGCAGCATCTGGTGATCAGGATGAGGAGGAGATTCCAAAACTGGGATGGAGCAATTGCAGAGGTAGGAAGGAAGCCAGAAAAAAAAAAAAAAAGATGACATTAGGGAAACCAAGTGAAGAGGGTTTTGTGGATCAAGGAATAGTCCTGAGTGTCAAATGCTTTCCAGAGGTCAAGTAAGATAAGGTTTGAAAAACATCCTTTGGATTTGGCATCATGGAATCTCTCAGCCTCCTTAGTTGGAACAGTTTCTTAGAGGGGTTAAGGTGGAAGCCAGACTGCAGTGGGTTGAAGAATGAGTGCTAAGTGAGGCAGCAGAGACAAGGTGGACAGCTGTTTTAATAAGTTTGATGGGCGGTGGGGGTGTGATGGAGGGGAACATGGAGTTAGGAAAGATTTTTTCTACTTCTCAAGATTGGAAACACTCTGATTAACTGTTGATAGGAAGAGCAGTAGGAAGACTGTGTTAGCTTTTGAGCTGGAATTCTTGCTTTTTTAAAATATATTTTTTTAGATGGACACAATATCATTATTTTATTTATTTATTTTTATGTGGTGCTGAGGATGGAACCTAGTGCCTCATACCTGCTAGGCAAGCACTCTACCACTGAGCTACAACCCCAGCCCGGAATTCTTGCTTATTGACATGGAACAAATTAATTTTCTTGCCTCCAATATCTTCAGCTAGAACTTGGTATAATAATAACTAAAAGATTTAACTCACAGTGGTGCACACCTATAATCCCAGCTACTTGGGAGGCTGAAGTAGGAAGGTCTGGGGATGTAGCTCAGTGGTAAAGAACCCCAGGTTCAATCCCCAGTACCAGAAAAAAAAGGTGATTTAATGTACACAGATTTCCTGAACAATTGTACCCCTCAGTCATTGTGACAGCTGACATATAATACTTTTCTTTCCTTCTAACATTGTTTCTGTCTCCACACTTCCAAGATTCAGTAGGATCTCGTCTTGGGATACTGGACAGGTTGCTAAAGTGTGGACCTCTGGGGGACAGTGGTAGGGAGCAGGGTATGTAGTGAAAAGCTATGAGAGCTACAGGGAAATCTATACAGCACAAGGCCAGGTAGAACAGGATCAGATGCCCACCCAGCAAGAGTGAAAAGGGACAATACAAGGGACAGAGACCTAAAGTAGGGGGGTGAACAAACTGTGGATCCTCAAGAGACTGGCCCAAGAAGAGCCCTTCCAGAAGGCAAACTGGACACCTGCTCCCTGGGGGAGTCATAGGTTAAGCTTTCATCTAGAAAGTTACTGTAAAACCCTAAGGGGTTGATCCCCTGCCCAGGTGCTTTAACCTCAGTTTAAAATACAGATGAGCTCAACCCTGAAGCTGATTAAGTGGGAGCTTCTGATGTCTTCTTGTCGAGACTTCTATGTTTACAGGGGTAGGGATCAGGGAAGACAGTAAAGAAAAGGAAGACAGAGGTCAGTATTGACAGATAGCCTTAGTAGGTAGACTGGGAAGAGCCAGGCAGTGGAGGGGCCTGGGCCAGAGTTACCAGCTGAGGCAGAAGCTGCTGTCAGAACTCTAGTCTGATGATCAGTCCCCTTCTCACAGGCAATTCAGAGATAAAGGAAAAGCAATGACTCCTGTTCTTCCCGAATCTGAAACTGGATGTTTCCTACAAACTGGGAGAAAAGATAGAGGAACAGATGTGTAATTCCTAAGGCCTTTCCAGATTGTGGTGGAAGATAATTCAGAAAGGAAGGGAACAAACCTTTATTCAACACTTACTCTGAGCCAAGCATTTTTTATACTTGTTCATTTATCTTAGCTTTACACAACCTGTGAGGTATAGATGTCAAATGGAGTCTCAGAGAAGTTAAATAACTTTTCCAGAGTCATCTTACTAGAAAGTGGCAGAGCATATTTTGAACCTGGTCTCTGTGACTCTGAACCAGTGCTCTTTGACACCACCCAGACTTAGGAATCTATGTAATGAGCCTGGTTTAAACAGCTCTCTGCTTTCTTCCCGCTTCTAAGCTGCCTCATCCTTCATACGACTGACCCTGGAGCTCAAAGCCAGGTTCTGCAATGGTTCAAGGTATGTATAGTCCCACACAAAATTTAATGGCAGGGGGCCATAGTCCTTGACTGGATGAGTAGAAGTTTCTAGCTGGTGTTTTAGTCATGGGACCCTGGTGGCATTGAGAGTGTCAGCATTGCTCAGCAATGGGTGTATGAGTTGTAGGTGCTTCTGCAGGTTGTATTTCATCTTGTCTGGTAAGGCTCTCTTTCCTTACCAGGTACTAGCGGATGGGCACCTGTATGTCAAAACTGGAAGAGTTCTGAGAGACCATTTGTCTAACCTGTCATTTAAATGGGGGAAACTGAGGCCTTCAGAGGGCAAGGACAACAATATCCATCAAGTTCCAGTTGCTACCAGCCCAGCAATTCCAGAGGGAAAACTCCCTTGTTTAAAGGAAAGGCCATTGCCTTGAGATCTATCTTATTAGGTTTCTAGAGAAGCCTTCTGTAGAACCTTCCCTTTCATGCATTTACTGGGAACACTAACTTGTTATTGCCTAGCCTGCAACGTGACTATGCGCCCTGATTAGCTCCCCTTCCATATCTCTGAATAGATCACCCAACATTCAGGAGAGATCCATCTGCATTCAAAGTAAAAAGTTTGCAAGTTTGCAGTATTCCTTGGTTACCTATTCTTAGCTTCAACAGTTTCCTCTTTTTCTAGTATTCCCAGTCCTTTCCTGGCTCAAGGAAATAGTAGCCAAATAAGACATGCCATCTCTTGTCCTTTTTTCTTCTCCAAGCCACTCAGCCCTGAACCAGGTGTGTTCCAGTTTCCTTTACTGCATGTGTCTCAATCTCCTATCAGCTCCAGAGAAGACCAGATCACTTTCCCAAGAAGGTGAGATGCTGGGGTTGAACCCACAAGAGGTCTGTGGCAGTCTGGTAGTCTGGATGTCTTGCTGTTTGGCTGCATAGTGTGTCAGTACAGTAATAAGATCTCCTGGCTTAGAGCTGCCCAGAGGAACCATGGAATTATGGAATAATGGAATTATAGGCTGATTCATAGGGGGGTAAAATAATGAATCAGAAAGAAATGGAATCAAAGACCCTGGAACCTTAGGTTCTAAAGATTGAAAAGGACCCTAAAGATCATCAAGTCCCATTTCTCCCTCCCAGCCATCTCTGCAGCATCTCCACACCTGTCCCCTTGTTCTCCGCTTGTTCACCCCCAGAATCCAGCCTTTCCTATAGCATGTACAGCCTGTTCTATTTCTGTGTTCATTCATTCATGAAATATTTCTTGAGCATCTATTGTGTGCCAGATTCTACTCCAAGTTCTGATAAAAGAACCAGGGAGAGGAAGTTCTGCTCCCCTGGAGTGAGGGAGGCAGGCAGTACACAAACAGATACAACATCAGGGATGCATAATAAGGTGCTATGAAAAAAACATAAGTGGGCAAAGGGGTAGAGGGTGATGGAGTAGGGAAAGAAGCACACATTAGATAGTAAGTCTCTGTGAAGAGGTGACATTGAGCAGGGGTCTGAGTGAAGTCCAGGAGAGCCATGCAGAATCCAGGCACAGTAACAACTGGTGCAGGCCTGAGGTCTGGAGTTTTGAATATTCACTGAGCTTCTGCCACATGCCTGGAGAGGCCTAGGTACAACTGTGGATACAGTTATGATTACAATATATTTACTCTGCCTGTGGAATTCCTCTATCCCAGACTTCTCACTTGATATAACATAAAATAATTTAATCATTGTTTTATTCATTCACTCAAATTGTATATCTTCTTTGTGGGTTAGACTTGATGCTATCCTTTTTTTTTCCACCTTTTTTCTTCTTTATCTTTTCTTTTTTGGCAATCCTGTGAATGGAACCCAGGGACTCACATGTGCTAGGAAAGTGCTCTACCCCAACCCTATCCCAGCTATGTATCCTCCAACCGTATTCCCAGCCCTTTTATTTAAAGTAAAATAGACAGGGTCTTGCTGAGTTGCTGGCCTCAAACTTGTGATACTCCTGCCTCCGCCTCCCAAGTAGTTGGGGTTATGGCCTCTGTGCCCAGCCATATTTCCTCTTTCTACATTTATGCAGACTCTGGGTCATTAAATACCCTTCAAATCTCCCTTTCTATTCTGTCTTTCTCAGATACTGTGGTGAGAGAGGCAGGAGCCCAGGTGAGCATTTCTGTTACTTCCAATATGCTTGGCTCCTGCCTTCCACACTAGACCTGCCACTCCTCATGGCAGTGTCTAACAGGCTGTCTGTTCAGGGGTGGTCTGACCTGCAGAGAGAAAAGCACCTTGCCTCTGCTATGGTAGCCTGAGACATGTTGGCAGCACATTACAAAGATCTCATGTGCTTGCCACAGCCAACCCCACAGCTGCTGACAGCTCCCTGGCTTCTCAAAACAGGAGGAGCCCCTCACATCTGCCCCCTGCACACACATCTCCTCAGATTCCACAGTGCCAGGAAGAGCAGCAGGCCTTACAATGCATGCAGACTACTTCTTTCTTATGTGTATCAGGAGAAAGAGCAGGTGGATGCACGTGCATTTCATTATTAGCATATTTTTAAATTTATCTTTTAGTTTTAGGTGGACACAATATCTTTACATTTATGTGGTGCTAAGGATTGAACCCAGTGCCTCATGCATGCTAGGTGAGCACTCTACCACTGAACCACAACCCCAGCCCTCATTATTAGCATATTGATCATGGTTTGCTTTGGTGAACAAAAGCACTGAACTTGGAATTAGGAGACCTGATCTGGCTCTGCTACCAAATTGCTGTGAAACGTTTCTTGTTCTCACCCTCCACTTGCTCAGGATTTGGCCATGCATGGGTCTGCTACCTTGGCAGGAGGAATTCTTTGAGTTTACCTCCAACGTGGGTTCCTGCTTCCAGGCTCTCATCTTCCAACCCATCTCCATTTGATGCTCAAAGGATCTATCTGAACACCAAGCTCTAGTATCTTAACTCTCCTAGTCTTCCACTGCAATCCCCACACATCAGTCTGTGAAGCAGGTAAAATGTGAAAAATAAGGATGATAGAATGAATTTTTCATAAAGTTGACTTAATTCAAATTTTTAAGTTCTGAGGCTCTTTTCTATTAAAATGTCCTTTGTTTCATGTAGCAGAGTTTATAAGAAATCCAGAAATCTGTGCTGGGCACTATGGTGTATGCCTGCAATTCCATCTACCCAGGCAAGAAGATTGTCTCAGCTTCCCATATAGCGGAGATTACAAGCATGTATCACTATCTGACATAAAATATGAATTCTTTAAGCAACATTCAAGGTCTTTCACAGTCTAGCTGTGAATTATATCATATAAACCTGGTGTGTTGACGCATGCCTATAATCCTAGTGGTTTGGGTGGCTAAGGCAGGAGAATTGCAAGTTAAAGTCCAGTCTCCACAATTTAGTGAGGCCCTAAGTAACTCAGTGAGACCCTGTCTCAAATAAAAAATAGAAAGGGTTGGGTATTTGGCTCAGTGATTAAGTGCCCAGGTGTTCAATCCCTGGTATCCTGCTCCCCCAAATTGTATTGCATAATTCCATAGCTCCTGACACCCTCATTTCCTCATTTACTGTCCATTCACACTGCAGGGGAAACAAAATGTGTCCTCTCATGTGTCCAAGCCTCCAAACATCTTGCCTTCTCTCTCTTGGATTCTCTTCTCTCTTCTTTGCCTGTTTTCTGTTCATCGTCCATAGTTCCCTCCTCTTTGAGCTTACCTTGCTCACACTAGGTGGTCTGAAGCTCTGCCTCCTCCACACTGACATACGGCACTGACCACTTGTCCTGCAATTAACTGTCTCTTCTTACCAGCTCCTGGAGATAGGGTCTAGGTCTCACAGTTTTGTCTGTAATAGCTGCTTAGTGAATGTGTGTCAAATGAATGAATGAACCCATGTAGTATTTTTGAGATGTATCCATGACCTTCCACATGTTAACTTTAGTCTCTTCTGCAGGCTTAAAACTGTATAAAAGAAGAGAAACCTGTAATATCTTCTGTACCACATGTATGCTTGCTGTCCTCTGTAGTATTCTGCATGTAGTATTTCTCATGTTCCCATTACCCGTTCTCCTATGTTCTCTGTGTGGCCTTCCCTTGCCTGTTCCCTTGCAGAACTCTCTGCAGTGTCTGAGCTCCTGCAGCATGGGTTGCCCCAGATAAGCAGCAGGAGCCCTGAGAGTGTTGCCTTCCTATCTGATCGCCAGTATGTGGAGGGAACTGCTCGCCAGAGACAGTACTGCATCCTGCTCCTCTTCTATCTGGCCTACATCCACGAGGACAGGTCAGTGTTCAGGGCTGGTGGCTGGTAGTGGGTCCTGGGACTCTTGTCTGCAGCCCAGTTCAGTTCAATAAATATTTGCAAAGGTGTCCTCTTTAAGCTTGGGGCTGGGCACTGAAACACAGGGATAGTGAGAAATTGGTTGTATTCCTGAGAGGCTTATATCTTAGAAAGGGGTTAAGACCGGTCAGTAGACACGGTGCTGAGAGATAGAGGCTTAGAATGTTCATGTATGTTCTTTGGTGTCCTTGAGGGTGTTATTTATGTACAGAAAAAAATTGCAAAGGTTTACTGAATTACTATTTGGACCTGCTGTTGTAGCTCAGTGGTAGAGTGCTTGCCTAACATGTGGGAGGCCCTAGTCCTAATCCTCAGCACCACATAAAAATAAATAAATAAAATATAGGTATTGTATCCATCTATAATTAAAAAAAGAATTACTATTCAATTTATCAAATTTTTAAAATCCAGTGACAAGTATTAATCTTTTAAGAAGATAATTTATCCAAGTGAAATTTATACAATATAAAATTAACCATTTCAAGGGGAACAATCAGTGGCATATAGCATACTCACAGTGTTGTACAATCACTACCCCATGTCATTTCAAGACATTTCTCTTCCTCCAAAGTAAAATCCTTGTCAAAGCCAGGTACTGAAGCATATGCTTGTAGTCCCAGCACTTGGGAGACTGAGACAGGAGATCACTTGATTCCAAGAGTATGAAACCTGCAATATAGCAAGATCCTTTCTCAAAACAAAACAAAATGTCACCCTCCTTCTCCCCTCACCATCTGCCTTGTATGCATAAGCCTACACCCCTCCCCACCCACTACAGAAAGCAGCCCATTGAACACACCACTATTTAATGATAAATATAAGAAGAGAGAAGTTGGCAGCCTACCAAAGGGGGGCCTCCTGAACCCCAGAAGTAGAACCTTCTCTATAACAGGAAGGCACATAACCTTCCAAGTGTGAATAAGGAATCTATGGCCCCTAACACAGCCTTGCCAAGGCATAGGACCATATGTGATGTATGTGTGTGACAGTGCTTTGAAAGTGCATGTAGCATACTGTTTGTGCAGTTTTGTTCAGCTGTGGGCATGCTAGGGCAGGATAATGGGCTGAGGCAGGATGCAGTCAGGGAGGACAGGAGACCCACTGGTCAGGGTCTCTGCCTTTCTCACTCAGACTCTCCTTGGTCAACAGGTTTGTTTCAGAGGCAGAATTATTTGTGGCTCTGCAAGGCTTCCTCCTGTCTCTGCAGGACCAGGGTGAGCACCCACCTCCAGTGGTCTTCAGAGCCTCCATTTATCTGATTGCAATCTGCCAGGACAAGGACAGTGCACTAGATGAGGTATGGATCAGAATGCCTGGGTTCTCCTTCTCCTCCTCCTCCTCCTCTTTACCCAAAGGTTCCTTGGGAGACCACGATGATACATGTTTAGACCAGGGGTGGCATAGAGGGAGAGTGGGATGTTAGGAGAGTGGAGGGGAAGAGGGTCATGACGCTTACAGAGCCTATGTAAGTTAGCTAATTCTTTCACAGTCTTGGGAGGTGGAGATGATTGTTTCCATTTTATAGATAAGAAAATAGAGAGGAAAGTGAATGTAATTTTCTCTAGAGCACACAGTTAAGTCATGGGGGAGCCAGGACTCCACCTCAGACTTGACTGACTTGATATCCAAGTCTCTTTCCTTTGTACCGCCTCTGGTTTGTGCAAAAGGAGAGACCTGCAAGGTATTGTACCTCCTTCTGGAAATAGTTAATTAAACAAAATGGATTGTTGATCATTATTAATCAAGCAGATTCTGGATCATTTTAATGGTGACTGTATCTATTTCCTCACTGAATCTTATCACTTGTTTCATAGAAGATTATTTCTATTCCTTGACCATGAGCCTTTCAGTCAGTCTCAGCCTAAGAATATGCTTCCTTCATTGACTGTTAATTTTGCCTCTGATTACATTTGTTGGGGGAAATGTAGTCTAAGCAGACCTGGTTTAATTGAATGGAAGCACTAAGTTGGAGTGAAGAGCATGGCTTTCAAAAGCAGCACACTTAGGCATACAATATTCTGCTGCCTCTCTATGTGATGCTAGTAGCCACTGGTGATCATTGTTTGGACCAGTTGCTTCTGGGGATTGCCAAATGATAATGAAAATATTCTGTCATTCTTTCTTCATTTTTTAATTGGACTACTTGAACAAAAAAGTTTTTCATTTCATCAACTATTTAGATATTCTGAGGGGTAGATTATATAGGAAGCATAGATTTAATGCTTGATTCTTCTGTGTTTAAAAAAATTTTTAATTTTTTTCTGGTGCTGGGACCAAACCAGGGTTTCACTCAAGTTAAGCACATACTCTACCACTGAGCGACGCTCCTGGTTCATATACTTTCCCTTTAATTGCCAGTTTAAAAGAACTGAGTTAGTTGCTTAATATCTTCCAAAAATAATTTTAAAAAGTGGTACTAAAAAGTGATATTAAGGGGCTGGGATTGTGACTCAGTGGTAAACCTCACTTGCCTAGCACATGTGAGGTCCTGGGTTCGATCCTCAGCACCACATAAAAGTAAAAAAAAAAAAAATAAAGGTCTTGTGTCCAACTACAACCAAAAAATAAATATTTTTTAAAAATTTAAAAAAGTGATACTAAAAACTGTTTTAGAATCACTGTACACTTGAGAATTTAAAATATTTGATGCATTTTAATCAGATGTAGTTACTATCCTTTTGAGATATAATTTGTCCTATCTTTGGCCAGTGGGAACATTCTCAAGGAGGTACCCACCCTTGATGACTTGTGTGTGCATATGCACATAAAACAGAAAAAAAGAGAGAGAGATAGAGACAGAGAGAGAGATACTAGGGTTGAACCTAAGGTTGCTCTACCACTAAGCTAATCCCCAGCCCTTTTTATTTTATTTTTTTATTGTGAGACAGGATCTTGCTAAGTTGTTCAGGCAAGACTCCAATTTGTAATCCTCCTGTCTCAGCCTCCCAGGTAGCTGGGATTATAGGCATGTGCCACTGCTCCCAGCTAAAATTGATTTAATTTTTTTTTTTTATTTTGTAGATGGGCAGAATGCCTTTATTTTATTTGTTTATTTTTATGTGGTGCTGAGGATCGAACCTAGTGCCTCACGCATAATAGACAAGTGCTCTGCCACTGAGCTACAGCCTCAGCTCCTTGATTTTGTTTTGATAAAATTTCACACAAGTTGCAAATGGTGGTAACACCTGTAATCCCTGTAACTCAAGAAGCTGAGGCAGGGGTCTGGGGTTGTAGCTCAGTGGTAGAGCGCTTGCCTAGCATGTGCGAGACACTGGGTTTGATCCTCAGCACCACATAAGAATAAATAAAAATAAAGGTTTCATGTCCAAGTACAACTAAAAAAAATATTTAAAAAAAGAAGCTGAGACAGGAGGATCACAAGTTTAAGACCTTCCTGGACAATTTAGCAAAATCTTGTCTCAAAATAAAATAAAAAGGGCTGGGGAAGTGACTAAGTGGTAAGCACTTGGGATCATACCTAGTACTGAAAAAAAAAATGTTGCAAGAGTAGTTCAAAGAATGTTCATTACTCAGATTCACCAGTTTTCACAATATTGCCTCATTTTATTTTTCTTTATTTTTCTCCAATCTCATCCCCACCTTCTTTTTTTTTCTGAACCATTTGAAAATAATTTTCAGATGATTTTTAGATATGCTCTTTTATCCATTAAATACTTCAATATGTATTTCCTAAGAACGAACACTTTCTTTTTTTAAACACATTATAGTGATCAAAATCAAGAAACTTAACAATGGATATAATATTATTAGGTAATTTGTAGTCAATAGCCAAATTTCTTTTTCTTTTTCCTTTTTTTTTTTTTTTTTTGTTTTGTTTTGGTGCTGGGGATCAAACCTACTGAGCTACGTACCCAGTCCCCAAATTTCACTATATCAATATGTTCTTTTTTTAAAAAAATATTTTTTTAATTGTAAGTGGACATAATACCTTTATTGTATTCATTTATATGTGGTGCTGAGGATCTAACCCAATGCTTCACACATGCTAGGCGATCGTTCTACTGCTGAGCTGCAATCCCAGCCCCCAATAATGTTCTTTTTTTTTTTAAAAAATTATTTTTTAGTTTTAGGTAGACACAATATCTTTATTTTGTTTTTATGTGGTGCTAAGAATCGAACCCAGTGCCTCACGCATGCTAGGTGAGCGCGCTACCACTTGAGCCACATCCCCAGCCCCAATAATGTTCTTTATACCTATTTTTTCCCTAGTCCAAGATTCAGTGTGGAATTACACATTGTGTTTGGTTTTCATGTCTCCTCTTTAATCTTAGAATAGTGCACAACCTTGTCATTTTTTGAGTACAAAACAGGCTGTGCATTTGTAATTCCAGCAACTCAAGAGACTGAGGCAGGAGAAGCTCAAGTTCTAGGCCAGCCTTAGCAAGACCCTCAGCAACTTAGGGAAGCCCTGTCTTATCTTAATAAAAAGGTCTGGGGATGTAGATCCATAGAGTGCTCCTGAGTTCAATCTCCAGCACAAAAACAAACAAACGAAAAACCAAAACACACACACACACACACACAATGAAAGAACAGTCATTTCATAAGACTTGGTTTGGATTTTTGTGATGTGTCTTCATTTTTTAGATTTAGGTTGTGCACTTTGGGCAAGAATGCCATAAAAGTGATGTTGTGTCCTCAGAAGACATATCATGAGAACTCCTGTTATAAGGTAACAGTTGAGAACCACTGGTAAGCACTGTGGGGTTTTCTCCCCAGAGTGCCTTGGATGATTCAGTAAAGATCTGCTGCAATACTGAGATGCCTCTGCATTTTCCCCAGTCTTGTTTTTGGCTATGTTGCAGTCTTAGGTCCTCTGAAAGGTGTATTTACCTCCTTTCTTTCTTTTGCCTCCAGGCTGTGGTCAGTGCAATCAGAAAATTCTTGGAGGGAATCTCAGACCTGCACCTGGTCTACACCCACCACCCCCTTCTGCTCCGGTTCTTCCTTTTGTATCCAGAGCTGATGAGTAGATTTGGGCACCGCATCCTGGAACTTTGGTTCTTCTGGGAAGAGAGCAGCTATGAGGAACTGGATGATGTTTCTTCTGCTGGGCTGCCCACCCTTCCTGCCAGCTTAGCAGCCCTATTCCAGATGCTCAGAAGCAGCCCCAGCATCCTGCTCATTTTGCTGGTGGGTAATAGATACTGGGGTTGAACCCATTGAACTCACTCATTTCTGCATTCAGAAATGGTGGACTTCGGTCTCTGGGAGCTGGTTTACTGGCTGTTTCTGCCCACTTCTGGACTTTTCATTACCTGTATGTGAGTGGGAGGCTCTTTGTGCTTATAGGTACCTGGAGTCTATAAATCTATACCCTTTCCTAAGTTTGATGGAAATCTACACATTGAGAGGTGTGTTACTCTCTACTTCTCAGGGGATATAACTATAAAAAGTGGATCTCAGTCACCATTCCCTTCACTTCTTTGTCCTCTCAAGCAGATTTTGATAAGGATTTAATGTCAAAGGAGACCCTTAGGGCATGTAGATGGAGATGTCTGATTGCAGAGTTGGTCTCTTTTTTTCCGTGTTTCAACTCATATGATAATATGACATGTGTAACACACTTGGGCATACCTAGAATTGTCAGAACCCCCATTATGTTTTTATGATGAAAGATATTACTGTAATTCCCGTCAGGTATATCAGTTTTAGATAGGTAAATTGCTTATTGTGTGTAATTCCTAACATAATGGCTTTAGTTCCACCCTTTTTTCCTTCCACTCAAGAGAACATATTAAAAAAGAATTAGTGACAATAATTTTATAGAAATAACTGCTGTAGTGTATATGTGTGAATGATACATTCCTTCCCTCAGCACTGAAGATTGAACCCAGGGGTGCTCTACCATTGGGATGTATCCCCAGCCCCCAGCCCTTTCTATTTTGGGGGAGTTGGGTAATGGGGATTGAATCCAGGAGCATTTTACCACTGGCCAACTTTGCCAGCTCTTTTTAATTTTTTAGAAAGGGTCTTGCTAAGTTGCTGAGCCTTGCCTCAAACTTGCAATCCTCCTGCCTTAGCTCCCTGAATGATTGGGATTATAAGCATGTGCCACTGCACCCAGCTAAAAAAAAAAAAATCTTTTTTTTTTTTTCTACATTAAGATTTCGTCTCTGGCTGAGGTTATGGCTCAGAGGTAGAGCGCTCACCTAGCACGTGCGAGGCCCTAGGTTCAATCCTCAGCACCACATAAAAATAAATAAATAAAATAAAGGTATTGTGTGCCACTACAACTAAAAAATAAATATTAAAAAAAATTTGTCTCACACCAGTCAGAATGGCAGTCATCAAGAATACATAATAATGAATGCTGGAAAGGATGTTGAGAAAAAGGAACATTTCAATGGATTTGTAACTGATGTGATTCTGCAATCTGTATACAGGGTAAAAATGGGAGTTCATAACCCACTTGAATCAAAGTGTGAAATATGATATATCAAGAACTATGTAATGTTTTGAACAACCAACAATAAAAATTAAAAAAAAAAGAATAAGGCATCAAAAAAAAAAAAGAAAAAGGAACATTTTTACATTGTTGGTAGGATTATAAATTAGTGCAATCACTGTGGAAATCAATATGGAGGTTCCTCAAAAGACTAGGCATGAAACCACCTTATGACTCAGCTATACCAATCCTAAGTGTTTATTCTAAAGAATTAAAGCCGTCATACTATAGTGATACATATATGCCCACGTTTATAGCAGCATGATTCACAATAGGTGTCCATCAATGGATGAATGGAAAAAGAATACACACACACACACACACACACACAATATGGAGGGTTTAAAAAATTTTTTTTAAGTTGTAGATGGACATAATACCTTTATTTTATTTATTTATGTGGTGCTGAGGATCGAACCCAGTATCCCATGCATGCAAGGCAAGAGCGCTACCACTGTGCTACAACCCTAGCCCCACAATGGAGTTTTATTCAGCCATAAAGAATAATGAAATCTTGTAATTTTCAGGCAAATAGGTAGAACTTAAGACCATTATATTAAGTGAAATAAGCCAAATTCAGAAGAAAATCAAGGGTCATGTTTTTCTCTCATGTGTGGAAGCTAGAGAGGAAAAAGGAAAAGAAAGGTGGTGGTAAAGGTAGGGATCTCATCAAAGTCATCAGAGGGGGGCTGGAGTTGTAGCTTAGTGGTACAGCACTTGCTTAGCACCACATAAAAAATAAGCAAACACATTGTGTTCATCTATAACTTAAAATATTTTTAAAAACTCAGAGATCAGTAAAGGAAAGGAGGGACCAGAACCAGGTGGTGGGAGGTGGGGAGAAAGGGAAAAATGCTGGGGAATGATATTGGCCAAACTATATTGTTATATTGTGTGCATGTGCAAACATGTAACAATAAATCCAATAATTACATACAACTATAATGCACCAATAAAAATGTGGGAAGAAAATTTTTTTTCATTTTGCAATACTGGAGATTGAACCTAGGGTTGCTCTATCACTGAGCTACATCCCCAGACTTTGTAAATTTGAATTTTGAGATAGGTTTAAGTTCCTGAGGCTGGCCTTGAACTTGCAGTCCCCTTGCTTCAGTCTTCCAAGTTGCTTGGATGACAGGAGTGCACCACCACACCTGGTCCCAGCCCTTTTTAGTTTTTATTTTGAGAAGGATCTCACTAAATTGCTCACGCTGGCCTCTAACTTGCCATCCTCCTGCCTCAGACTCTGGAATAGTGCAGAATCACACCCAGTCTGTAATTCACATAATTTTTTAAAATTAAATTATTTGTACATTTTATACTTGTATTTAGTCAGAGATTGCTAGTTACAGGTCCCAGACTGATTATAGGATGCCAGTGTAGGAGACACTCAATTTAGAGCCACTGCCCTCAATACCATTTTACATACTCAGCATCCCAGTCAAAGGAGATCACACAACCCTGATAGAGAAAAATAGGGGTCCTTTGATGCTCTTGTCATTAACAAGATTTTCTTCAGTGGAGTGATTTTGGTGGCAATAACACTTTCATGTTATTACTCTACATCCTTAGTTACCTGTATCTGTCTATATTCTCTCTGTCTCTCTCTCTCTCTCTCTCTCTCTCTCTCTCTCTCTCTCTCTCTCACACACACACACACACACACACACACACACACACATTCCCACACATTCCCCACTCAGACTAAAATCTCAGCCTCCCTTCCTTGAGATCTGTTCCTTGTAGTCACACATATTTTAACTTGATAGGTGCTGTATTCATGCTTTAGACCATATTCTTCCTTGGAAGGAATAGGTTAAAAATAAGAACTCTAGTGCATAGGGGAGGAGGACAAGATGGGACTTGAGGAAGAGAATCAGTGGACAGAGCTAAGGTATTAGGTTTTCTTTGCCAGATGACATATTCAAGGTCAGTTCCTTGCACATAATAAGTGCTTATAAATATTTACTGACCTACTGAATTGTGTCTGGACAGATCAAAGTCTCTCCCCCTATTCCCTCAAAAGAATTCTGAACCTCTGAGAGATAATAATATGTGTGTATAAATATATAAATATAAATATATATTATATATATAAATATATTTCTTTTTAAACAGATGAAGAAATAGGTTTAGAGAGATTTTCCATGGTCAAAACAGTTGAAAATAGCTGGACACAGGGGTGCACGCCTGTAATCCCAGACACTCAGATGGCTGAGGCAGAGGATTGCAAGTTCTAGGTCAGCCTGGGGATGTAGCTCAGTGGAAGAGCTCTTATGGATTCAATCCCCAGTATTGGAAAAAAAATTAGGATTAAAACCCAGATTTTTCTCCTTATCTAATGTTCTTTCCAATACACTAAGCTGACTCTGACAAGGAGAGCTAAACTGATCATGAAGACAGAGGCTTCTCTGGGCTTCAGTTTTCTCCACCTAAAATGGAAATAACATGAGGATGAAGGAAGTGGTCTGTATCGTCTACTGTATACAGTAGGCCATCATTTGCTAGTCATTGACTCTGACTCTGAGCCAAATGAAGAATGTTCATCTTAGAAAGGCTAATTGAAATGCCCGTATAGCTAATAAGGGTCATGGTCATGACTGGAGCCCAAAGCTGATGACTTTTCACTAAATTAGATCCTAGAAATATCAGTGGTAAAAAAGAACAGTAAGGAACAACTCTGTTGACTATTCCAAATATATAATTCATACCATTTCTCCCCAGTTCCTAGCCACAGGAGGGGAAAAGAGTCTAAAAATATGTGTTGGTACCAATTTCTGTTTCTGAGATGGGTAATTAACAGCTGAAAACAAAGCTGTTAATTGCCACTGTTATCAATGGGTGGTCCTTCATGTAGGTTGTTGAGATGTGAAAAACAATGATGTCACAGAAGCTATGTGTGTTTCCTGCTTGGCCAACTCATCCTGGTAGGTCCAGTCTCAAGAAAGTTCTGGATAGCTGTGGGTAGCAAAGACTGCATAATGGGCCATGGTTATGCCCAGCACCTTCCCACGGACCTATGTGGTATGGTGGGGTACACATGTTCCCCTAGCATTCACTGTGGCCACCAAGAACCAAGTAGCCCCTTTCCTTTTGGACCTTTAAAATTTATTAACTCAGGGCTGGGGTTGTGGCTCAGTGGTAGAGTGCTTGTCTCACATGTGTGGGGCACTGGGTTCCATCCTCAGCACCATATAAATAAATAAAATAAAGGTATTGTGTTCATCTACAACTAAAATGTTTTTATTTTATTTATTCTAATTTGTTATATATGACAGCAGAATGCAATTCAATTCATATTACACAAATAGAGCACAATTTTGCATGTCTCTAGTTGTATACAAAGTAGAGTCACACCATGCATGTTTTCATACAAGTACTTAGGGTAATGATGTCCGTCTCATTCCACTGTCTTTTCTACCCCCATGCCCCCTCCCTGCCCCTCCCACCCCTTAACCCTATCTAAAGTTCGTCTATCCTTCCATGCTGCCCCCCACCCATTCCCATTATGAATCAGCCTCCTTATATCAGAGAAAACAATCGGCTTTTTTTTTTTTTTGGATTGGCTTACTTCACTTAGCATTATATTCTCCAACTCCATCCATTTACCGACAAATGCCATGATTTTATTCCCTTTTAATGCCTAGTAATATTCCATTGTGTATATAACCACATTTTCTTTATCCATTCATCTATTGAAGTGTATCTAGGTTGGTTCCACAATTTAGCTATTGTCAATTATGCTGCTATAAACATTGATGTGGCTGTGTCCCTGTAGTATGCTGTTTTTAAGTCCTTTGTTTATAGACCAAGGAGTGGGATAGCTGGGTCAAAGGTGCAGCCAATATGGAAAGCAGTATGGAGATTCCATTCCCAGATTTCCAAGGAATCTCCATACTGCTTTCCATATTGGCTACACCAATTTGCAGTTCCACCAGCAATGTATGAGTGTGCCTTTTTCCCCACATCCTCGCCAACACTTTTATTGTTGTTTGTATTCTTTTTTTTTTTTTAAGTATGGAATTTATTTTTTTTTATTTTTTAATTTTTTTAAATTTTTTATTGTTGGTTGTTCAAAACATTACAAATTTCTTGACATATCATATTCCACACTTTGATTCAAGTGGGTTATGAACTCCCACCTTCACCCCATACTGTTTGTATTCTTAATAGCTGCCATACTGACTGGAGTGAGATGAAATCTTAGAGTGGTTTTGATTTGCATTTCTGTAATTGCTAGAAATGTTGAATATTTTTTCATATATTTGTTGATTGATTATATATCATCTTCTGAGACGTATCTGTTCATGTCCTTGGCCCATTTATTAATTGGGTTATTTATTTATTTATTTTTGGTGTTAAGATTTTTTTAAAAATATTTTTTTAGTTGTTGATGGACCTTTATTTTATTTATTTGTATGTGGTGCTGAGAATCGAACCCAGTGCGACACACATGCTAGGCAAGCATTCTACCACTGAGCTACCATCCCAACTGGGGTGTTAAGATTTTTGGGTTCTTTATAAGTCCTAGAGATTACTGCTCTATCTGATATGCGTGTGATAAATTGCTCCCATTCTGTAGGCTCTCTGTTCACTTCATTGATTGTTTCTTTCGTTGAGAAGAAGCTTTTTTTTTTAGTTTGTATCCATCCCATTTATTGATTCTTGATTTTAATTCTTGCTCTATAGGAGTCTTATTAAGGAAATCAGGGCCTAATCTGACATGATGAAGATTTGGGCCTACTTTATCTTCTATTAAGCACAGGGTCTCTGGTTTAATTCCTAGGTCCTTGATCCACTTTGAGTTGATTTTTGTGCATGGTGAGAGATAGGGGCTTAATTTCATTTTGGTGCATATGATTTTCCAGTTTTCCTAGTACCATTTGTTGAAGAGGCTATCTTTTCTCCAATATGTTTTTGATGCGTTTGTGTAATATAAATAACTGTATTTATGTGGGTTTGTCTCTGTCTCCTCTATTCTGGTCTACAAGTCTGTTTTGGTGCCAATACCATGCTGTTTTTGTTACTATTGCTCTGTAGTATAGTTTAGGTCTGGTATAGTGATGCCACCTGTTTCACTCTTCTTGCTAAGGATTGCTTTAGCTATTCTGGGTCTCTTATTTTTCCAGATGAATTTCATTCTGCTTTTTCTATTTCTATGAGGAATTTCATTGGGATTTTGATTGGAATTGCATTAAAACTGTATAGTACTTTTGGTAGTATGGTTATCTTGACAATATTAATTCTGCCTATCCAAGAACAAGGGAGATCTTGTTAAAAAAATTCATTAACTCAGATGTCTTCATTTCCAGCCCTTTTTATTTTTTATTTTGAGACAGGGTCTCATTGAGTTGCTGAGGGTCTCACTGAATTGCTGAGGATAGCCCCAAACTTGCAATCCTCCTGCCTCAGCCTCTAGAGTCTCTGGAATTACAGGTGTACACCACTATGTCCAGCTCATTAACTCTGATTTTTGAGGGCCCAGTTCTGTGGCAGTGGAGCACGGATGGCTTGTGATAGGGACCAGGAAACTGGTTTGGCCTTGGGCACCATGACCTTGGGCTACCCAGCCCTCCCCCAGACTTATAAAGTAAAATAATTGATGAAATTATCTAGATTTTTCTCCCATTTTGTGATTTCTTTCCTAAGATGTTTTCTGTGTCCCTACAAATCAATAAAGTTTAAGCAGATCTCATCCCTTCCCTTCATTAATTTACAGTGTAGTGGAATTTGCAACTGTACTACTTTCTTGATAGGCAAACTAATTAATCTGCCCCAGTTGCCTAATTTGAAAAATTGGCATGACACCTAAGTATTGTGAGGACATAATGTACAAACAAACATATGGCTACTATATAAACACAGCTCAGCACCTGACACTATTAGGCCCTAACTGAGCAGTTACACTTAATATTATAGTTGTTTCTTCAGCGTCTGTGAGGTTTGTGAAGACCCAAACACAGATGCCCTTTGTTTCCACCCTTCCTTGCCTGCCCAGGGGTCAGCACATCAGTGTTTGTCTGGCAAGGTGCCCTGTAGCCGTGTTTCTGTGTGTTAGGAACTGTCCTCTCCACAGAGGAAGTCTGTGTGTGACCTTGGAATCATAGAACCCAGTCCTAACTATCCTGGCACGTTAGCCTGTCCAAAGGAATTGACTCCTTTGGGCTGGTAGGTGTCAGGAGCTATCAGTAGGACAGTTACTGGTGCAGCTTCTGACTGGTTGTGCACTTTAACATACACTCAATAAAATAACTCTGAAAACAAAACAAAAAGCAGTGTCCTTTCTCATCTTCTGAACTCAAGGCCTTACAGCTTGGGGCAGGGATGGGCAGATGCCACGGCAGAGAAGGGGCCTGACTTGGTCCCCACTTCCCTTCCTGTGCCCTGAATCTGTCTCAGCCCATCCTTTCGCTGGTGTGACATCTCCATCCCATCTCCCTCCCTTCTCCTTTAAGGCACTCTCAGATTCTCTGTCCTGAGAACAAAGTCTTCCTGACCCTAATACTTCCATTGCAGGAGGGAGGCATCCTGGAAAGCAGAAAGTTGGGCTTGGAGTCAGGAGACCTACATTCATATCCTTTGAGCCACTTAGTGATCTTGGGCAAATCATGGAATCTCTGTGAGCCTCCATTGGCTCCTGTTTGGGATGGTCTTAATAGGATGGATCTGTTTTCAGGATGGTGTGAAGTGTCAGTGCACCCAGTTGAGCTTTTGGTACAAAATAGTCACTGAGTAAGAGTTAGCCCAGCTTTTGTGACACTGTCATCCTGGATACTTTCCTGGCTCTTCTTTTCTTCACTGTCCACCTGTCCCTGGTCATGATGCCCTCTAAACTCTGGCTTCCTTCTCTCCTGCTCAGGACCTCGTCTATTCCAGCCCAGTGGACACAGCCCGCAAGGTACTGATGATCCTGAGGACCTTCCTGAGGAGGAATGAAGATGTCCAAGTGGATGGTCTCATCCGAGGCCACTTCTTGCTCATCCTGCAACACCTGTTGGTGGAGCATGGGGCCTCCCCGTCAGGAGGTCAGTCTTTAGGTGCCTTGGGTATGTTTTAACCTGAAAGCCAGCCAGGAATGGGCAGCTCAGTCTTGGTGAGGTGTGCTTTAGAAGAGAGAATCAGGGTTATTGCTGCAAAAGAAAAGTCAGGCCAGTGTGACATAATGTTCTAGGTTTAGTGTGTGTGTAACATAAGTGGGTGTGTTTGGTGTGTGCATGAATGTCCCTACCCTTCACAGCATGTGCTCAGAGCTGTTTGTCTCAATAATGGCAGCACCCAGTGGAAAGAAGAGAGAAATCTGGGAGAGGATGGAAGCCAGCAGTGCCCTGGGAAGGAGTTGGATCTGTGATATGTTGGAAACTCCTAGTAAGATCCAGGATAGTTTCCAAGTCTGGAATGGGACCCCTGGAGTCAAGGAAGCTCAATTTTTGGTACATTATAAAGATATTGAAAATTGGGATGGGTTTGTCTTTCCTATTTTTAGAGAGACTATATATTTTTAACCAAATTTCTGAGCCATCAAGACAAAGTGGGAGAAGATTCATGATGTATTTGGTCCAGTCCTGACTGAGGACTGGGATTTAGAGGTAGATTTAAGAGCATCCGAAGGACCTAATTCTTTCTTTGCAAGGAAGAACCAGACATGTCTAACTGATAATACTGCAGAAGAACCACAGATTTAGTGGGAATGTATAGTGGAAAGGCCATAGGCACAGAATTCAGATGTGGGTTCAAGTCTTGGTCCTATGTCTCAGTCTGTTACAGCTATTATTACAGAGTACCATAGACAGTGACTTAGAAATAACTTAAATTATTTCCTCACAGTTCTGAAGGCTGGGAAATCCAAAATCAAGTTACCAGCAGACTTGGTGTCTGGGGAGGCTCCACTTGCTGCTTCATAGACATCTTACTGTGTTCTCACACAGAGGCAAGGGAAGGAACTTTTTGGAATTCCTTTTCTAAGGGCACTAATCCCATTCACAAGAGCTCTGCCTTATGACATAGTCACCTAACAAAGATCCCACTTTCTAATACCATTACACATTGGGATTAAGATTTCAGCATAGCCAGGCATGGTGTTGCATGCCTGTAATCCTAGTGGCTCGGGAGGCTGAGGCAGGAGGATCATGACAGCCTCAGCAACTTAACAAGACACTAAGCAACTCAGTGAGACCCTGTCTCTAAAATACAAAAAAAAAAAAAAAAGGTGGGTTTATGGCTCAGTGGTTAAGTGCCCCTGAGTTCAATCCCTAGTACAAATGAATGAACAAGCAAATATTTTAGTGTAGGAATTTTGTAGGTCACAAACATTCAGACTACAGAACCTTGCCCTTCTCTAGCTGTGGACCTTGAAGAGAAGAAAAAAGCCAGTTGGCCACTGTGGGCCTCAATTTCTTAACTGCAGAGTTGAAATAACAATATTTGCTTCACATTTTTTTTTTTTTGTATCGGGGATTGAACTAAGGGGCACTTGACCACTGAGCCACATCCACAGTCCTTTCTTGAATTTTTTAGACACAGGGTCTCACTGAGTTGCTTAGTGCCTTGCTAAGTTGCTGAGGCTGGCTTTGAACTTGAGATCCTCCTGTCTCAGCCATTTGAGCCGCTGGGATTACAGGTGTGAGCTGCTGTGCCGGCTTCACCTGGTTTTTAATGCATTAAATGAAATAATGAATTTCTGGTACCAATCCAGAGTTATCACTCGGTGTATCTGTTGCCGTGTCCCCCATGAAGAAGGAAGAAGTGGCAAATCCCAAGAAACCACCTGATCCTTTGGAAATAGAGAATTCAGCCTCTGATTCAGGGCTGTTTATGGCAGGGTAAGATATCTGACCTTCAGGTGATCTGAGCTCAGAGTCCTGACCAGCCCTGCTTCTTGACAGCCTCGGGGAACCTGCCGCTGCTGCTGAGCCTCCTCTCTTTGGTACAGCTGAGGAACAAATCAGAGCAAGAACTGGACAGCATGGCCATGAAACTGCTTCACCAAGGTGCCTCCCTGCTTGGGACAGTGCCAAGGGCCCAGGGCTAGACCTACAGTATGCTAGTGTTCTCTTCTTCCTTCCATCCTTTCATTTCTTTGGAAGAAGCTAGCAGCTCAGTCTGTCCCCAGGGGATTCTTGCTGAGAGATCTTTTGGGGGTTCCTCTGCTTCTTCTCAGGGAGTGTTTGGGAAACTCCCTCACCCCCATCGCTGGCCAATACCTGTGTTGGCAGGCACAAGCTCTGTAGTAAGGAAGGCCCAGGCTTGCATGTCAGATCAGTCACTAGCTATGTGGTGTTCGGCACTCACCTTACTTGTACCAAACCTAGGCTCCTCCTAGGGAAGATAATGATACTTCCCTGATGTTGAGATTAGGAATACCTGGTCTGATAGATGCAGAAGGCCACATAGTGCTTGGCACATGGTAGGTCTTTAACAAATACTAGCTGTGTCAATTCATGTTTCCTGGGACTAAGTCAGCTCTCCACCTCATCGCACAGCCGACTCAGCTCTGATGACCCCGCTCACAGTTCTCTAGGTGTCTTTCTTACGCACACCCTTGTCCTCATTGGAACCGTTTACTGTTCATGAATGCAGTCATTGATTCATAGGCAGCACCTGCGGGAAGAATTGTTGAGACAATTGTTTGAAATTAATGGAAAAATGACTTGTTTTCCATGTCTGTAGACTCAGGCTTGGGCTATAGGGGAGGAGGGGACACTTTTCCTGCCAGAGCATAGTCCTTGTCAAGAGATGATCAGTGTCAGGCTCAGAAAAGGTCTCTGGGGATGGCTGCGGACCCTGCCACTGCCTGGTGCTTGTAATCACTACTCACCTGTCTGACCAAGGCTACCATCAAGCTGGAAGGAGATCTGTGTGTAACAAAAATAAGCTTCAAAAGGGCCTCTAACAAAAAGGAGTAAGAGGCTGAAATCTATGTGTGATGTAGTAGCTATTTATCTGTAATATTTATCTGTAATTGAGGACTTTTATTTGAGAGCACTGGGAGGAGAGGACTATGGTTCAAGAGGGGAGATGACAGTGGGGAGAGACCTGCTTGTTGGGTTGACCACAAGCCAATGAGAAGTCAGAATGTAATATGGCTGTTAAAAGTAAACAAGAATTTAGTAAGGTATAGGGAGATAGGGAGTGGTAATTCCCAGGAGGAGAAGGAAATGTTCTATAGATGTCTACTCTTCAGTGTAATATCTGCTCTGTTAAGGGATGGGGAGTGCAGAAGAGGACCTCATCTTGCCTCAAGAGATTACAGGTGGATTTGTTGGGGAGGTGAACTTTGAGCTGAATCTTGATTGCTTACTAATAGTTAAGGAGTTAGCCAGAGGGAGGTGATATGACAGAGAGGATATGGCAAGAGCTGGGAACTGTGCATGATTATGACAGAGTTCCCATGGGAAGACAGTGTGCTCCATTGTTAGGAGAATTGGGAGGCTAGATGATCTCATGGAGCAAGGACTCATGCTAAGGTGATAGGTTGGCCTGGATGACCTCTAGAGACCCTTGCATTCTGGAGTCTGTGACGGCATATACACAGTTAAAGGATGCCCTTGACTAGCTCCACCTGCACGGTCTGTTCTGGCTAATCTGCAGCTGTGGGCAACATCCCTGGGTTATTCAGGTGAAGGGTGTGAATATACCTTCAGGTTTGTCACTTTCCACTGGCTGAAATGTCAGGAGCACTTAGTTTGTGCTTGCTCCCCAAGACTGAAGTCTGAAATCAATAGTTGTGGGCTCTCATCTGTGAGAAGTGTGACTGCTGGTGTGCATTAAAGCCACGGACTACTGCTCAGTAGGCCACTGGAGACTCATTTCTTACAGTGAGCAAACTGTGTGGGAAGTGCAGTCCCAATGATGTGGACATCCTGCAGCCTTCCTTCAACTTCCTGTACTGGAGCCTGCATCAGACCACGCTCAGCAGTCAGAAAAGAGGTGCAGGGGCCCAGGGGGGGACAGCGAAGAGGAAGGGTACTGGGCAGTATTTGTGACCCTCAATATTTTGTCTTAAAAAAATAACTAGGGGTGTGTGTGTGGCTCATGGTCATAGGTCCTCTCTGGTTCTGAGAACCTGTGGTTTTCAATGATTCTGGGACTCTTAGGGCCTCATGCTAATTCTTTTGTTTATTTTCATATGCTTGAAGCCTCACTAGGTGCTGAACATCTGGTGCTCCTGTGTAACATGTGGCCCTTGCCCTGCCTTTCCCCTATAGCTGCTGCAGTGCTCTTGAGCACCACAGCTCTGATAGAGCTTCTGGAGAAGATGCTGGCACTAACCTGGACAGAGATGGGCTCTCCCACCTGGGCAGAGGCAAGCTCTCCCAGGACTGCACTGCTGTGCTCTGCCTGGCTGCTCACCGACTCCTTTTCTGCCCAGCAACACAGTGGCAGTTTGCAGGTTAGTCTGTCACTCCACGACTTTGAGGCATGGGATGGCACTTCAAAGAAGTAATGAAAAGCCTGAATTCTGGCCCCAACTCTCTGGCTTCTTAATTGTGTGAGCTTGGCAAGGTACTTAACTACTTCTGAGTTTGTTTCTTTACCTACAAACTGGTGCAAAACATCTCACAGTTGCTGTAAAGTTGATTTAAATTAATCTTTTTAACACACACGAATCATCTACATGCCAAGCTATATTCTTGGAACAAGAGGAATAAAAAAGGAATATAGCATTTTCCCTATGCTTAAGGGACTTGTAGTTCAAGCAAAGCCTCAAAGTAAGAAATATTATACCCAGTGAAGATTATGGAGAAAGACACTCAAGGTAGAGTATATGTGGTAAAGACATGAAGCTGCACAAAGTTAGGACATAGGGTCCATATTTGGAGAGAAGTAATGTGCTCTCTGTGGCTAGAATGTGAGTAGGAGAATGTGAATGGTGTAGGTCAGATTGGACAGGAAGCCAGGAGCCAGCCCATGACCTTGAAATGCTGAAGGGCAATCTGTGAAGTGCCACACATGGTTAGCTGTCTTTGTTAGTGTTCCGGAAGGTGATACAGATAATGGAAGAGCAGTGGGTATATCCACAGGGCACCTCTGTTTCTCCCTGCCTTTCTCTCCTGTGTCTTGTCATCACATGTGCAACTCCCCAGAGGGCTGCTTCACATTCAGGTATCTCCCCAAGGCTGGCTGCTCCTCCCAGACAAAAATCATCCTGGCTTATGGGGTGGTGACAAGCTGCAGCAGATTTACACTGGCAGACCTTGAAGGTTGTTGCATATGGTTGATTTGAGACAGGAATCTTTCCCTGGGACCTGCACCTTGCCCATGGCTCTGCCCTGGCCCTCGACTTACACCTGGCCAGTCACCTGTGTTCCTCTGTCTTTACCACATATACTCTACCTTGATCTGATCATCAGTCCTCGCCCCCTGTGTGGCCAGTTTACCATCTCCTGGTTAGCAGCTCATCCTCCACTGTATGTCCTGTCATCTGTCCTCACTCTCTCTAGACTCCTTTGGCAGTTTTTTTTTGTCTTGGCTTGGCCCTCTGCAGCCTTACTCCTGTCATTTCTACCCTTCTTTCCTGTCCGCTGGTCAAGTGTGTGTTTTTTTCTCATCAGCTCTGCTCTTTCACATCTCTATAATTATGTTGGTACTGGGAATAGAACCTAGGGACACTTTACCATTGAGCTACATCTCTAGCCCTTTTTATTTTTTTGAGGCAGGGTTTCCCTAAATTGCTGAGGTTGGTCTCAAGTTTGCAATCCTCCTGCCTCAGCCTCTCAAGTTGCTGAGATGACAGGTGTGCACCACTGCACTCAATTTCATTTATTTATTTAAAAAGTTATTTTAGTTGTAGATGGACACGATACCTTTATTTTATTTATTTTTATGTGGTGCTGAGGATCAAACCCAGTACCTCACAGGTGCTAGATGAGTGTTCTACCACTGAGCCACAACCCCAGCCCTACATTTATTTTTAATACACTTTATTTTAGGAACAGTTCTACATAGATTTGTAGAAAAATCAAGCAGGTAGTACAGAGTTCCCATATAAGTTTTTATATTAGCATGACATCTCCATATTTTTTTAATATTTATTTTTAGTTGTAGTTGGACACAATACTTTTATTTTATTAATCTATTTTTATGTGGTGCTGAGGTTAGAACCCAGGGCCTTGCACATGCTAGGCAAGCACTCTACCACTGAGCCACAACCCCAGCCCTCTCCATATGTTTTTACAGGTTGATTCTTCTGCCAAGAACCTCCTGCTTCCATCAGCCAACAGAGAGTTTTAAGTTTTTTTTTCAGTGCTGGGGGTTAAACTCTGGGCCTTGTGCATGCTAGACAAGTGTTCTACCACTGAGCCAGCCCAACAGGGATTAAAAAAAACCTTTTTAATTAATTTTTAAAAAAATTTATACATGACAGTGGAATGCATTATAATTCATATTACACATACAGAACACAATTTTTCACATCTCTGGTTGTATACAAAATATATTCACACCAATTTGTGTGTTCATACATGTACTTTGGATAATGATGACCATCATACTCCACCTTCATTTCTAACCCCATGCCTGCTCCCTTCCCCTCCCACCCCTCTGCCCTTTCTAGAGTTCATCTATTCCCCCCATGCTCCATCCCGCTACCCCACTATGAATCAGTCTCTTTATGTCAGAGAAAACATTCAGCATTTGCTTTTTGGGAATTGGTAACTTCACTTTGCATTATCTCCTCCAGCTCCATCCATTTACCTGCAAATGCCATGATTTCATTATCTTTTATTGCTGAGTAATATTCCATTGTGTATAAATGCCACATTTTAAAAATCCATTCATCTACTGAAGGGTATCTAGGTTGGTTTCACAATTTAGCTATTGTGAATTTTGTTGCTTTAAACATTGATGTGGCTGTGTCCCTGTAGTATGCTATTTTTAAGTCCTTTGTTTATAGACCAAGGAGTGGGATAGCTGGGTCAAAAGGTGGTTGCATTCCCAGTTTTCCAAGGAATCTCCATACTGCTTTCCATATTGGCTGCACCAATTTGCAGTTCCACCAGCAGTGTATGAGTGTGCCTTTTCCCCCACATCCTCGCCAACACTTATTGTTGTTTGTATTCTTAATAGCTGCCATTCTGACTGGAGTGAGATGAAATCTTAGAGTGGTTTTGATTTGCATTTCTCTAATTGCTAGAGATGTTGAACATTTCTTTATATATTTGTTGATTGATTGTATATCATCTTCTGAGACGGGTCTGTTCAGGTCCTTTGCCCATTTATTGACTGGGTTATTTGGTTTTTTGGTGTTTAGCTTTTTGAATTCTTTATATTCCCTAGAGATTAGTGCTCTATCTGATGTGCTTGTGGTAAAGATTTGCTTCCAATCTGTAGGCTCTCTATTCACCTCACTAGTTGTTTCTTTTGCTGAGAAGGAACTTTTTAGTTTGAATAAGAAACTTAAATAAGGAACTGCTTTGTGTCAAACTGTGACACAGCCAAGCAGAGTAGTAGTTCCTGCCCTTAGGCAGCTTGTGCTGAGAACAGTGTGACATTCAGTGCATGTTCACCAAGGTTGATCCTCAACTTTCCCTTACAGTTGCTCTGAAGGGAGGATGCAGGAGGTGTAGTCTTCATTTCATGAAGGAAGAAAGTGAGGCAGGCTGATAAAGGTGGAGTGACTTGCCAAGACCACACAGGAAGTGGCAGAGCAGGGTTTTGATTTTCATGTCTAACTACAAGTCTTCTGAGTTAGGTGGGTGGTGGTAGAGCCAGAGACAGAACCACAGATAAAGCTAGTGAAGTCTCTCTGGTGGAGGAGGCCATTGAAGATAGGGGAGATTTGGGAGAGTAGTTAGTTCTTTAGATACAGGCATGATTTTCCTCCTTACACTCCTGAAGCCAGGTAAGTCTGAGAAGACTCTGCATGGCCTTCTCTGTCCCCTTACAATGCAGAGGGTATGTATGTGGTGTGGGGGGTGGGAAAGGTATGGGGTCAGACTATTTTCTGCCTAGGCTCCCAGAACTGGGGCTTAGCCTTTTACCTCCTGCCCTGCCAGGTTCACCAGACACTGTCCGTGGAACTGGACCAATTATTGAAGGCCCTCAGCTTTCCGAAGAAAAAGCCTGCACTGCTGTCAGGTGTGGGCCCTGGAGTCTCCATTAGAAAACGAGCTTTTCCTCTGGATTCTGAGATAGGCCCCCCACCCAAACCAGCCTGTGGTCACTCCATAATTATATCATCAGTATTGTCTCCTCTCCTGTGACAGAGTTGGGTGGGATGTAGGGAAAGAGGTAGGAACTGGGTGTGAGGAGTCTTCTGCTTTTAGCTGCCATCTTACGTTTCCTGCGGACAGCACTGCAGCAAAACTTTTCCTCTGCCCTGGTGGCCCTGGCACCCTCAGGGTCCCAGCCACTGCCAGCTCCCGAGGATAATATTCTAGCTCCATTGGGAACATCACAAGTGCTGGCCCTGGTGATTGGACTACAGAACCTCCTTGTTCAGGTAAGGCCCTTGCTGAGTGGGACCTTGGCCGTGGGAACTGCTTCTCTTAGGGCAATAACAAGAGGGGGTGTTGCCTGTCAAGAGCCTGGTATTCTCAACAGGTCCTGGAGGGTGGTTGGTTGAGACTTTTAAAGCTACAGTGACAGAAATGAAACATAAATTGAGCTCCTGACTAAGAAGTCCAGGGGTCACAAATGGCCTCAGGCACAGCAGGGTCCCAGAGCCTCAGACAGTGCCATCAGAACTCTGCTTCCACCTTTTGGTTCTGCATTCCTTACTGTCAGCTTTGACCTCAAAAGGATGGTAGGATGAGCAATAGCAGCTCCAGGCTTATATCCTCTCAGTGGAAAGAAACTTTCTCTTTCCCAGAAGTTTTTAGAATTGAGTCTCATTAGCCTGGTGTGGGTAGTGCACCCATCACCATGGCCAGGATGTGGATGTTCTGATTGGCATGGCCTGTGCCTTCTCCTGGAGCTGGAGTGTATGAGTGTATGGCCACCTCTTCACAGCCCACATGGACTGAACCTGAAGGAAAATTGTTACCGGAAGAAGGAATAGATCTTGGGCAAGCAACACAGATGTTCACCTCAGAAGAATGTTTTATAGTTCAGAGTCCTTGGAGATCATTTTTTATCCAACCATTATATACTGAGCCTCTCCACTTAGTATCAGGACCTGTGAAGGATGTTGGGGGTCCTGGGAGTGGGCCCTGTGTTTGGTTAGTTAGGCTGAATCTTGTCCTGTGTTGCATCTATGCACAAGGCTCTGGGCTCTTCAGGGATCACATAGCTATCATGACAGGCACTCAGCTCTCTTGTTTTAGGTTTTCCATTTTCATACTAGTATCCCCCACCAGAGTGTGAGAGCCTCAAGGACAGGGACTTAGTCTGGTTCATCTTTGTATCTCTTTTCCCTTTGGGGGGCTCAAAACTAGTTAAGAAGTCAGGAGTTTGATGAAAATTAATATGTCAGCTTTATTTGCTGATAAACATATAGTGAAGCATGGCTGGGACTTGAATTAGAATGTTTTATTTTGTTGCCGGAAATTTCCAAACATTCAGCAAATATAAGAGAATTTTATAATGAACACCCATCCACCTACCACTTAGTCTCTACCATTAATATTTTGCTATACTTCATCATATCTATCCAAAATGAACTTTTTTTTTTTTTTTTTTTTTAAAGAGAGAGTGAGAGAAGGAGAAAGAATTTTAATATTTATTTTTTAGTTACCGGCGGACACAACATCTTTGTATGTGGTGCTGAGGATCGAACCCGGGCCGCACGCATGCCAGGCAAGCGCGCTACCACTTGAGCCACATCCCAGCCCCAAAATGAACTTTTAAACCATTCTTTCTCCTAGCCAGATGAGTTGGCTCACAAGAGGGAAAAAAATGTGCTGCATTACGGAAACGTAGCCAGCTGGCCACAATCTTAAGAGTTTAAGTTTATGGGAGCAGGAACTTTAATTCCTTAATTCTGGGTGGCACTTAATTCAGGTGTTAAGCTAGCATCTTGTCTGTTAGATAAGTCCCTCCTTAGTGCAAGAAATGCTTTTTATCTAATAGGGAGGGGGAAATGATTCCCTTATACATGATAAGAACGTAGAGCTTGGCACAGAATTGGCATCAAGTACTGTTTGTTGAATGAAAAAATGAGGACACATAAAAAACGATATAATTCTAGACATTTAGGCACTCCACAGATTGTAGGAAACACATAAAGCCAGTCCCACAATAACCCATTAACCAATGAATGGATTAATCACCTCCCCAAAGTCCCATCTCTCAAATACCATTATCAAATGCCTTTGGGAATTAAGTTTCCAAAACATGAAATTTGGGAGATAAATTTAAATCATTGCAGAGCTCTTTCAGGCTGGCTTCGGATTCAAATCTAGCTGCTACATTCCTGGGGAAATTGGGTAAGGGGAAAAGGGTAGGTCTGCCCAGAGAAGAGGCAGATAGCTTTCTTACTCAGACTTGTCTTTCTGCTTTGGGTGGGAGTGGAATATGTTGTTATAAGATTGGTATTTCAGGAGCTAATTAGTTTTATAGACTTGAATGATCTCAGGATCATTTCTACAGGAGCAGATGCTAATGTCAGGTTAAGGATTCTATGAGAGTAGGAGGTGAGGAGGATGGGAGAGAGAATACAGTGTGCTGAGTAGCCTGCTCTCTACAAGGCACTTGACCATCATATGACTTCTTTATAAAGTGGACATGGAAATAGTCCCAGAGACGTTAAGTAATACACCTGTGATCAGATACCTTCAGGTCAGGATTCAAAAGTAGGTCTTTTTGGTCACAAAATTCATATTCTTTCAGTGTCCCAGGAAGTACATCTTGGTAACAGGAGCTATTGTTATTTGAGCAATAGTCCCTAGTTTTCCTAATGCCCAGCCCCCTGGCTCCTCACCCACCATCTAGGGATTGAATGAATGCAGGGTTAATTAAAGTGGCAGTAGGGCCAGAGCTCCTTATCAGGTGAGGAAACTGTGGCATGCTGACCTATGGCTGTATATAGTCTTGGGTACCTGGGAAAAGGCCAGAATTTATGTATGTATTCATTCATTCATTCATTCATTCATTCACACAACATCTTTGTTTGTATGTGGTGCTGAGGATCAAACCCGGGCCGCATGCATGCCAGGCGAGCGCGCTACCGCTTGAGCCACATCCCCAGCCCCATCATTTCTTCTTTTAAAATTTTTAAAAATTTCAGTTGTAGATGAGACTTTTATTATTTATTTATTTATATGCAGTGCTGAGAATTGATCCCAGTGCCTCACATGTGCTAGGCAAGTGATATACCACTGAGCTGCAACCCCAGCCCCTAATTCATTTCTTTTTATTGTTAAATTATATTCCTTTATATGGCTATATTATATTTATTTATTCCACATACTGATGGACATTTGGGATTTCCAGATTTTTAGCATTATAAATGAAGTTGCTTTTAATACTGAAGTACAAACCTTCTCCTTCTCCTCTCCTCTCCTTCTTCTTCTTCTTTTTTTTTTTTGGTGCTGGGCATTGAACCCAGGGCCTTGTGCATGCATGCTAGGCAAGCACAGTACCAACTGAGCTATATCCCCAGCTCCTGAAGTACAAATCTTTATGTGGATATATGTTTTTATTTCTCTTGGGTAAATACCTAGAAGTGGACCTGCTGGGTCAAATGATGCAATAGTGTTCTATTGCTTTGTAACAAAATACCATAAACTTAATGGCCTAAACATTCATTTATAATTTCACAATTCAGTAGGTTATATGTTTGGGTAGGCTTAGCCAGGTTCTCCACTTAGGGTTCCACAAGGCTGAAATCAAAGTATTAACTAGGCTGGGTGCTTATCTGGGACAAATGGATTCATCCTAAGGGACTTCTTTCAGCTCTTTAAGGTTACTCAAATTCTTTCTCACAGGGCCTCTCCAGCTTCAAACCAGCAGTAGCACATTGAGTCTTTCTCACACTTTAACTTGCTGATTCTTCTTCTGTCATCTTATAGACAACTCTGCTTCTAAAGGGTTCATGTAATTAGTTTGGGCCCATCTGAACAATCTCCCTTTTTCCATATAATAAAATCACAGGAGATCATCTGAGTAAAAGTCATGGGCCATCTTAAAATTCTGCCTACCACATAAGGTAATTATGTTTAACTTTATAGGAAACCACCAAGTTGTTTTCCAAAGTGGCTATACCATTTTACCTTTCCAATAAGAGTTCCAATTTCTCCACATTCTCACCAACACTTGGTATTGTCAGTCTTTTCAAGTTCAGTCATTGGTGAGTATGTACTTGTATCTCTTGATAGTGTTGTTTTGCATTTTTCTGACTGATGATCATGAGATTTTTTTCATGTGATCATTAGCATAAAATTTTGGATGAAAGGTTTCTGTTTTTGAAAAATTGGTTGAAACCCACTCGCCTAGATAAACTGTGGAGTCTTCCAATGTCTGTAATATGTGAATCTCTCAGTAGGGCCCAAGGTCCATCTTCTTTTCTGAAACAAAATTCTGTCTTGAAAAAGGCATTGTGCTCTGTTTATGGGTGATAGATGAAGACAAGAATTCTTAATTATCTACATGGCCATATCCCAAATCTTAAATTCTGAAATCCAAATAACTATTTTTTTAAAAAATAATTTTAATATTTATTTTTTAGTTTTTTTGGCGGACACAACATCTTTGTTTTTATGTGGTGCTGAGGATCGAACCTGGGCCGCACGCATGCCAGGCAAGCGCGCTATCGCTTGAGCCACATCCCCAGCCCCCAAATAACTCTTGATTACCAAATGTTTTTTTTTTTCTTAGTTAACATCAAAACCTATTGGTAGCAAAATGTGACCCTAATTCCTATTCTTGTTTTTGTTTTTTGTGTTGTTTTGCAGAAGGACCCTCTATTGTCACAGGGCTGTGTTGGCTGCCTGGAGGCCTTGCTTGACTACGTGTATGCCCGGAGCCCAGACCTTGGTAGAAATCTTCCTCATTCTATGATGTTTCCCTGGGGGAGATTAGAGGAGGTCAGCCCTTGCTACCTTTCTTTCAAAGGCTTCCATCCCCTGTTGTGTAATTCATACTCATCTTGTTTAGTTCTTTTAATAATACCGTAAAGGTACTATCATACCCTTTATAAACATGAGAACACTGAGGTTCAGAGAGGTCAGGTGACCTACCCAGCCATGGTCTCAAAATGCTCTTAAATGGCAGAGCCCTTCCTGTTGCCTGCCTCCCACAATCATGGGATATACTGTTTCACTGAGCCAGTCAGAACAGATGGATAGATAGCTCAGGAAAGAAAGAAACCTGTTGGAGCAGGCTGTCCAATGGCCTGCCTGAAGCTGGGTCACTAGGAGAAGCTTATCACTAGGACAAGTGTCAGCCTAGTCCTCAGGGCTTTGGAAAAGCAGCATTAACCACCTGAGGGACTGGTTTTGCCTGCAGCGCTCCATATGGCCTCCCAGCCCTGGAATAGGTTTTTGCTGTTTACTCTCTTGGATGCTGGAGAAAATTCCTTCCTTAGATCCGAGATATTGAGGCTTATGACACTGGTAAGTACAGAAACAATGGCCCTATGGTCTGAAAAATGTCATGAGCTGGGTGGTGCTGAAGAGACTTGGGACATTTGTTTTAGGTAACCCTTATCCTCAAATAAGGCAGAGGGGCTTGGTGGACCTTCAACTCCAAGAGGCCTCCTCACAGAATTCCTTTGAATATCTAATATCCTCACCCCAAAGACCCTGATCCTTTTCTCTTATTTCTGTCACCACATGCCAAGTCTGCCGAGGATGTCAATGAGCCAAAATCTAAGCTTCTAAGGGTTCCTCCATCTAGAGAAGGAGATAGACAAATGAAGAGTTGAATATGTTTTGTGTGGTGGAGTGGAAGAGATGCTAAGTGCTTGGCATATAGTAAATGTCCATTGAATAAATATCAAAGCAGTGAGTCTATGAATGATAGTGAAGTGGATCTACAAAGAAATCATTGGTTGGTATGGGAACACAAAGAAGAGAGTAACTGCTTTTATAGGGTGAAGGTAACATTTTATCTGAGGCTTGAAGGATTAATAGGCAGAGAGGAGGAAGGTATTGAAGGTATTTCAGGTAGTAAAATGAGAACACCAGATACAAAAGCAGGTGGTGGTAGGTTATGGAAAATGCACAGTTCATCTTGGCCATTAGTGTATGGTGCAAAGCTGGGGGAGGAAGGAGGCAAGGCCAGAGGGTCAGTTAGGGAAAGTTGCCTCAGGACCTCAGTTGCTTCATTTACCTCACCCCTACCCACCAAAGCAGCACTCTTGAAGGCAGGGTTCTATGGACTTCAAAACAGGATCCCCAGCTCATTGCCCAGTGCAGCAGGGCACCGGAAATGGCATTTCCTCCAAATCACTGGGTATTTGGGGCTTTTCTTCCTGGGCTAGTTTGTGCGGTACAACAGCAGCAGTGTCCTCTCTCATGAAGAGGTGGGTCATGTTCTGCAAGTTGCAGCTTTGGCAGACCTATCTACCCTCTCAAATACCACACGCAGAGCTCTTCGTGACTTCTTCCTTCAGGTGGGTGGAAATTGGATGACATGCAACCCCTGTGGGGCTCAACCCTCAACACCATCTTTTTGGAGGTTGGATCTGGCTACAGCAGCCCTTAGGAGGTCAGAAGTACAGGGGGTAGGGGATGTTTAGAGAAGTCCTACCTTCACTACCCTCTTCTCCCCTAGGTCCAGAGTATGGGCCTCCTGATTAATCACAGTACTACCCAGACCCTACAGGCCTCCTTGGAGGGCCTGTCCCTCAGTGCCTTCTCAGACCACCCGCTCCCGCAGGACATGCTGTATCCTTTCTTGCATCTTGGAGCTTTGGCCTGGGCAAGGTTACCCAAGCTATGAAGGCTGTGGCCTCATGCTTCCCTCTTCAGTCCAAGTGGAAGAGCTGGTGATTGGCAAGTCCCTTAGAAAGCTAGGGTTGTAACACTGGTCAGAGGCTCCTTGGGGAATTGTTGAAGTGCTCCAAAGACATTGTGGTGTAGGAGGTGCTTCCCACCCCCACCCCTGGCAGACTCCTTGGCTCTTTTCCCCTCCCACAGAACAGTTATAGTAACTACTTAGCCCACATATGCGGGTCCCTGTTCTAGAATTCATGCCACTATTTTTAGGAGCATCTCTGCTGTGATCATTCTAGCCCTTTTGGGGGCCCTGGAATTGTGATTCCCCACAGTTGGCTCCACCTTTCTGCTGTTCTCCTCTCATATTTCATTACCAGCTGCTTGGGAGGGGTGGCTGTATCCATGTCACACATCAGAGACTGAGCCTCAGGACTTGATGACCCAGAAACTGAGAGAAGTGAGACCTGGAGACAAAGGGTATAATTGGGGTGTGGGGAAGAGATAATTGCTGTCATTTATCTGAAGCCATTTACTTCACTGTGGAAATGGAATCAAGAAATAAAATCATAAACCCATACCTGCATGGACTCTCCAAAAACATTTAACTGTGAACTTGTCTCCCTGGAGCTGGTTTCTCAGCTAGTTGGATAGTGGATTATTTCAGCAAAGGATTGATGGTTTCCTCAGGGAGAGAGAGGCAGATTTATTAGGGCAATAACACCTCAAGGAGCATCTGCTGGGTGCCTCAGTTGTACCCAGAGTACATCAATTAGGTCACAGCTATCTTCTGGGCTGTCCAAAGGCCTCTGCAATTGGGGCTGCTGCAATCCAAGTATTCTGAGAGGCGCTTCACCTTATATGGAGAGGGATATTAATTCCCAGGCGGGAAGGTCAAATCCTCAGCCTTCTTAGCTGAGCTAAAGTGCTCCAGCCTTAGCCCTTCCCTGGCTAAAGTAGGACCCCTCAAATCTTTTCCCTCCAAAGCTTGTTTTATATACTCATGCGAGCAATTCTTATTTACTGTGTGCACTTGGCGCTTGGCACGTAGTCTGCACTCCCTAACTCTGCCTGCTTCTGTTTTGAACTCAGCCCAGCCTGGGCCTCCGGTTCCCTTCCCCCAGGCGAGAGCCCCAGCGCAGGGATCACACGCAAAACGGGCTTAACTCCGTCCTAAATGGACCGACGCAGAACGTGGTTTAGAGGTTGGTGGTCTAGAGAGGTGACCAGGTTCTGCTAGTTGCTTGAAAAAGAAGAAAAAAAAAAGTGCTAATTACAAACCATTAAATTGATCTTGCGACTGGCAGTTTAAAAATAAGGTCACAGGGTCTGGGATTGTGGCTCAGCGGTAGAGCGCTCACCTAGCATGTGCGAGGCGCTGGGTTCGATCCTCAGCACCACATAATAAAAGTAAGTAAAATAAAGGTATTGTGTCCATCTACAACTAAAATATATTAAAAAAAAATAAGGTCACAGATGAGGAAACAGTTTCGGGAAACGCGCATAAGTCTCCCGGCTCTCAGGTGTTAGGCACCAGTTTGCTGACACGTGCTTTAAGTTGGGCACAGACCCCACCTGCAGCTTAACTTCCTCCAACTAACAGCTTTAATCGAGAGCGCCCAGGGTACCCATCCGAGATGCAGTGAAGCAGGGGCGGGACGCGGATAGGTCAGGACCCCCTCCAGCTGACACGTCCCGGCACCTTCGCCCGGGTAAGGCAGGGGCGGGGCCGGAAGTTAGGTCACCGGAGCGCGGCAGTCGCGGCCCGCACTCATTGGCCGGGAGCAGCGCGGCGGGCGGGACTGTGTTCCACGGTGCCTACACGCCGCTTGCCGGGTTCTCCGGAGTTGGGTGTGCTGTGTAGCCTAGTAGACCCTCGAGCAGAGCTTCACGTCCAGGGGCTGTGGGTCCACAGAGTTCCGCAGCGCCACTTCTGCCTGGTAGGTGGGGCTGGGGCGCCGGGCGGCAGGTTCTTGGGGAGGGCCCTGCTGGTCCCCAGAGCCCCGAATTGGCTGCAAGGGTGGAGAGGGAATCTCGAGATCTGGCGGCTCTCATTGGGAAGACTCGCTTTCTTCTTCGGGAGCCCACAAGGCTCGGGACAGCAGCCTGGGCCTGCCACCCCGGGGAAGCCGGCTCAGCTCCCGCCACCACTGGGTCACCTCTTAGATGGGTCTGGAGTCTCACTCCAGTCCGTGAGGAGTTCCTGGGACGCGCAGGAAGGCAACAGGACTGAGTGGCGGAAAAACTGGGAATAACAGTAGAGAAAGCAGGTTCTGCCCCCCCGCAATCTGCGTTTTCTGCTTTCCTTTTTCTCTGATACCCTCCTTGTTCCCCCAAGTTTTGCTGTAGCCTGGTTCTGGTTCCCTTGGGTCTGGTGCTGGTGGACAGTGGACGTGCCCAAATGAACTTGGTTTCTTTCTCTAGGCTTCAGTTATCTCTTCTGTGTGAGGGAAGGGGTTTTCCTGATGACCTCTGAAGGCCTCTTAGTGTCACTGAGCATCTCCCCTGGGGCAGGTTTCCTGGTGATTATTGGCCATTGTGATCTGAGGTAGCTTATATACTCCATGTTCAGCCTGGAAAGAGCTGTGTGACTTTGAGCAGATACCTCACTTTTCAGTGCCTTGGTTTCCTTATTTGGTGAAACTGGGTAACTGTCATCTGAGTGCCAGGCCTCCACTGACCACTTATTTAATGTCTCACCTGACCTACTTCCTGTCATCCTTCTGTGCTTATTTTATGTGTTTGTCGATTTTTTGTTGCTTAACTAGGACATAAGTACTATGAGTGCAAGTTTTTTTTTTTTCGTTTTACTTATTATATTCTCAGCACTAGAACCATGCCTAGATTGGTAGGTACTCAATCAGGATGGTGCTGAATAGTAACAGGTGTTGCACATAATGACTTTTGGTCATTACACTCCTCTTTCTTCTTCGGGAGCCCACAAGGCTCTTAACGCAGGCTTGCTTCCCTTCCCACCCTGTGCCCCTTCTTTTTCTTTTTTTCTGTGGTACTAGGGGTTGAACCCAAGATAGGCAAGCACTCTACCACTGAGCTAGATCTTCAGCCCTTTTAGTTTTACTTTGAGATGGTCTCTCTGGGTTGCCCAGACTATGCTCAAAGTTGCAATCCTCCTACCTCAGCACCCTCCACCCCCCACCCCTGAGGAGCTGGGATTCCAGCTGTGTGCAACTGTGTCTGGTTTCTCTTCTTTCTTCCTTTCTCAGACAAAAGTTGTAAGTTTCATAACCCCTCTCAGTGCCTGGGCTTCAGGGCTTCCTAAAGCTGATTCTTGGTATTTAGAGGCTGTGCCACATCAGGGGAAGTTGCTATTCACTGTACTCTGTATTTTATTTAATGCCAACCTCTGGGTCTCACTCCCTCTCTTTGGGTTACTCCTCTAGCTCCAGGGTCTTGGAGATGGACTTTCTTCAGTTCTTGGCCTTCTTCTTTGTCCTGCTGCTGTCTGGAGTGGGGGCCACAGGTACCCTGAGGACCTCAATGGACCCAAGCCTGGAGATTTGTATCTTTTGTTGGAGTTCAGGGTAGGGTTAATGACCTGTCTCTGAGTGGTCAATATATGAAGCTTCTCTATACCCGCAGTCCCTTGGGGGATTCCTGAGATGAGCAAACCCAGCTGGTGGGAACAGGGAAGAAAAGGTAAGGTGCTCTAGCCAGACCTTGAGCAAGTTGATTCTCTTCTGAGCCCACTTCTCCTTATGTTAAATGAAGAAGGCAGGTACATCTCACAGCTGCAAAGGCTTTGACTTTTTCTGTATCTGGTACCTTGTGGGCAAGACCCTAGGTGGACAACTCAGGAACTCTGGATTACTAGCTCATCTTGACCCTAGTGTACTGAACCACCTCCTCTGGGCCAGGCCTTGGGAACACAAAGATAAGTCAGGACCAGTCCCTGGTTTTGAGGCATCCACAGGCATAGGGGGAGTATCTAAACAGATGGTTATTGTATGCTGTGATCAGTGCTCTGGTAGATGCAAGAGGGATTGGGAAACATTGTGCTGTGGATTCTAAGCTGGGTCTTGAAAAAATAGAAACTTCTAGAGAAGGGGATGGGGGAATCCTAGGCAGAAGTTACAGCATGAGCAGAATAATGGAGGTTCAGGAATAATGAATGATTATGAGAGTTGGCAAGAAAACCACAGGGAAGGGAGGACAGGATCCAGGTCCTGGAGGGTTGGATTCAGGCTGTTGAATGTGGAGTCCTCAGAGAACTGGATCAAGGATACATCATGGGGTATGTGTGCTTCTCAGACGGTTTGCTCCTTCCCTTGGGGAGTCCCAGCCATAGGCATTCATGCCCCTTACATATACTTGCTGGTCAGGAATGGGCCCTCTGGTTCAGGATAGCTGTTTAGGCAGGGCTGTTGGTATTAGTCCTTTAACTTAGTGCTGTCCAGACAAGAAGATGTTTGAGGTGAAACGGCGGGAGCAGCTATTAGCACTGAAGAACTTGGCACAGTTGAATGATGTCTACCAGCAGTACAAGATCCTTGATGTTATGCTCAAGGGGCTCTTTAAGGTTTGTGTGGGCTAGGGCAGCTCATGGCAGGTCAAGACTTTGATTTGGACACTGATGGATGAGTAGCAGTTCCCTAAGGGGATGGTGTTCAGTGAGGCAGAAGCTGCATGCATATAGGAGACAAAGTGGCGTTCAAATAAGTGGGGCTGGACCCAGGTTGTGAAGGGCTCTGCAAAGTCACAGCCCAGGGGGCTGGGGTGGTGGCTCAGTGGTAGAGTACTTGCCTAGCATGCATGAGGCACTGGGTTCGATCCTCAGCACCACGATCCTCTACACCAGGTAAAAACAAACTAATGTATCCACCTAAAACTAAAGATACATAAATAAATATTAAAAAAAAAAAAAAGTCACTCAGCCCAGGTGGGGTTCCCTCAGGTGCTGGAGGACTCCCGGACAGTGCTCATTGCTGCCAACGTGCTCCCAGATGGGCCCTTCCCCCAGGATGAGAAGCTGAAGGATGGTATGGTCTCCCTGGCCCTCTACTTCCCTCTCCACTTCTTTGGTCTTCTGTAGATGCTCTCTTTTCTGGTCATTCTTTTTTTTCTCCCTGGAGTACCTTCTCAGTGGCCCCCTTGTGTGGATGAGGCCTAATCTGAGCAGTTCTGGGCTGACAAAGATGTATTTTTTCATGCTGTCCTATGCTTGGTACAGGGGAACCAGGGAGGACCCTCTGTCCACCGCCACTCCAGGGGTTAGGACAGGATCAGTTGCTTACCTTCCTGACTCTTCTGGAAAGGAAGGTGAGATTTGTACCAATATAAAGGAGAAAAAAGCCAGGCACATGACACATACCTGTAATACCAGCGGCTCTGGAGACTGAGGCAGGAGGATCACAAGTTCAAAGCCAGTCTCAATAATTTAGTGAGGCCCTGAGCAACTTAGTAAGACCCTGTCTCAAACTAAAAAATAAAAAGGACTGGAAATGTAGCTCAAAAGTAAAATGCCCCTGGTTGATTACATTTTAACAATAACATTTCTTAGATTATACTGTCTGAGAGAGGATTGAAGCAGCCCTTGATATTGAGTGGTGGACACTATACAGACATCAC